CCCCCCCCCCCCCCCCGCTATGGCAAATACTACGTGAATTTTCCGGGATTCTTGATTTAATATCCTCTTAAATTCATTACAACGTGTACTATGTTTCAGTCTGTTTGTCCCCCAAATCAGTTGCATAAGCAGTTTTTATGATCTGCGCCGAGGACTTCGTTTTTCCTAAGAGTATTTGAGTGTCAGCTTATTCAAGACGTCATTTGTGTGATGACTGTATCAATACATCAATAGTAGGTGAGCACAATCGGAGAAATTTTTACAATCCGATTTCTACTAGCCCGCGAACCGCGGACGAATTTCCGGCCGTCGCTTGAAAGAAGCGACGACCGGAAATACGTCTGCTGTTCGCAACCTAATTTATAAGGGCTTCCCTTATTTACCAAGATCGCTAATTTGTTAGTATTTGAATGGGGTAGTGTAAAATGAAGACTGCAGACTGACTGCGGACTGTTGTTTTTAGGGTTAGAAAACAATGGGACTATCGTTGTCACGTTTCATTTGCGTGGTAACAATAGTCTTCAGTCTGAGTTGACACTGACCGGTATTTGAATTGAAACTGCCTAAAATATGCACACGGCGATTTGAGTGACAGTTTCGACATTTGCATGCGTTTGTAAAGTTTGTGTGACTTACATGTAATTCTAGACTCGCCTCGTGATCCGGGCTTCTGATGATAAGTGTTTGATAAAGCGACAAGTCACGAATCTCAAGAGTGCATTTTATTGCCTTTCCTCACGCGCAACAAAGACCAACAAAGCGATCGAGCAGTGTTCAGCGTAAAACATGTCAGAGACACAAGTCAATGGCGTTGTTATCACGGACCAGAAACCTGGAAAACCAGAAGACAGCCGCGCTGCTCTTGTCGAACAAATGACCATTGAAGATGGCCCTGAAGAAGTGGAAATCGAGGACGATCGTGAGAAATGGGGAAAGAAGCTCGATTTCATGCTCTCGTGTATTGGGTATGCAGTGGGTCTTGGAAATGTTTGGAGGTTTCCATACTTGTGCTATGAGAATGGTGGAGGTACGTATCAGTTTATAAGATCAGGTTATCAATATCAGTTCTGACTGAGCAGTTTCTAAACAATGACATTCTAATGTGGAGTTACAGTGCTTTGTGCTTACAGTATATTGCGTAAGAAGCGAATCGTGTAAACATAGCTGGGCTGCAAGTCATTTCGCCCCTGTTACTTCGCCCCTATTCTAGAACGAGAAATATTATATTTGAAGCGTGCTTGTTTTGGTTTATGGCTTATAGAACGAGGAATATTACATTTGATTCGAAAATAGGGGGCTAAGCAAATGACCGGTCACCTAAAAAAGCTATCACATGAGTATATTTTGCTTTGCAAACTCTCTTGTTCTTGAATATCTAACTGAAGAGACTAACAAATCGCACTTTTCCAATCGACGCTTACTGTGGTCGGATGAAAAAGGAACGAAACGTTCTTCAAGTTGAATGTGCTAGGCCTCGTAGAGCCAGTTACCGGCAAAAACATGTAAATATGATGCGAATTTCGAGAATGATCGACCGTCGAGCTTCCACCGTCGAAAGCCTTTGCAGCAAACGGCCACACTTCATGCATTTTTATATGCAGTATTGTAACGCATAAAAACAATGCTATAATCTGCATTACATAATTACAGTTTAATGTCGCCATTTCCCATTGTGTTTATTCTACTTTCATTCTGAATATTCTGAGATTCAATTCCTCCTTGGCGCTGATTGAGGTTGAAAAATGTATATGATCTAGATGTGATCGATTGACGGGTATCTCAGCCATGTTCAGTCTGTGAGTTCCGTACTAGTCGTACTGTACGCGAAAAGCCTTCTTATCTAGCAGCTTCTAGCCTTATTTAAGACTGGTTCTCATTTTCCGACGACCTTCAATGTTCGCGTACAGGAAATTCATATACCGAGGAAAATAAGACACGAGACATCGCCTTTCTTTTATTACGTTTTTTATAATTATTGATTTGTTAAATTACCCTGCGGCATCTCTGAGGAGTTGGTTTCCATCCAGCTTAATTCTACTCTCTGCTGTTGCTTTGTAGGGTAAAAATAATAGCCAAAGCTTCTAATTTACAGAGGAAGTGCGATTGGGATTTTTTTTCTTTTTACTTGAAGGCCACCTCATTTCTCTCATTAACAAATATGCAAACTTTTCGCCTGGTGTCACTTTTTGGCAGGCTGATCTGTTTCCCGCAGGTGAACTAATTTCGAAGGCCATCGCCCCTTTTTTAACAGAGAGATTGTATAAACAGTGGGCAACTTGCCATCTTTGACATCTTTCAACAAAATATCCCACACTAAGGCCTTTCTCACCCCTTCTCACACATTATTTTCCAAATGCTTGATTTCGCCTATAATATAATTGCACCTAAACAATGAAATATGATCGCAACGATTTTTAGCGGCGACTCAGCAAGCAGTTCTATGGTCAGGACATCACGCTTCGAAGTAGTAGGGAAAAGGCAAAAAACAGGGTGAAACGTCTAAAAGGAGCTATGTCTCTGGATGTAATTCTTTTTAAAGATTTTTTCAGCAGTCTGGAATGATATAAAAAAAATAAAATCAACGGTATCATACTAGTGAGAAACCAGCTCATAGGATGTACTTGCACCGCTTACTTAGATTAAGTTTGCTGCACAAAAAGAATTGTGGAAGGCAGACAGTTTCGATTCCTACTCTGCAACTAGCTTCAAACATCCTGGAACTATCGGGCTGTTGAATTTAAACTTGACCTTGCACCCTCCGTAGTCTCCATACGTGACTACCTCAGCCAAATCTTGAGTGGAAAGAACACTCGAGGATTCAACGTCACTAAGTATCAAAACGTCTGTATGCAAAAGTAATAATGACCACTGACATCTAGAAAGATCAACTGTCTAGGATGGTAAAAGGTATCAATGTAAAATTTCGATAGGTAGACAACATCGGAAACGACAGAATCGCCCTTTCCCGCCCGCTATAGTACGACGCAGTGTGATCAAAGTATAGGAAGTAGGCTGCGTTCCATTTATCGAGGCCACAAAATAAATATTTATATCTAGATTTCGTATGGCTGTAAAAAAAGAGAGAATACGAGTTCCCCCCCCCCCCCCCCCCCCCCCCAAAAAACAAAAAAAAAAGGACAACCCGCCACAACTCTCCCCTCGGCAGCGCGTTTCCCACAACACCCCCCCTTCCCCCCCCCAAAAGAAGGCCCGATGTGAAAAAAAGAAAAGGAATAAGGCGCCTTCCCCTTTATCGAGGCCAAAAAAAAAAAATTTATACTTAGATTTCGTAAGGCTTAAAAAAAAAAAAAAAAACCAGTCCCCCCCCCCCCCCGCCCCCAGAAAAAAAAATCAGAAAAGAGGGGTCCTCTGACCGATTTTCTCAGTGGCAGTGATCTTCGCCTCAGCCCACTACTTCCATGCGCATGCTACGCAGGCTACCCCAGCTCCATGGTAACCGTTTGGGGCGTTTTAAAATGACGTCAAGTCTGTTATTTTAGTGTCTCAAAACAATAAAACGGCGGCCATGTTGATGTCCCAAACCAGTCCCTTGGGAGTTGAACGTTTTTCTTGTGTAAAAACGTTCTTTTGTTCCGATAAATTTGCATAGCCGCTTGTCACGTCACAGGGTCCAGAGGAGATGTGTTTGTCGCGTGGAACATCAAAACTCGTCGAAAACCTCTGAAAAAATGGGTTATTTTGATCGCGTTACAGTTTCGTTACACATTCTATATACCGCAAACCAAGAGACTGAGGGCTCGCAAGATTGGCTTATGATTCGGTATGATTTTCAAAATGGCGAACAACAAAGATCAGACAGACAGGGTCAGGACATCAGGGTCAGACAAGAAGCGAAGAATTCGTTTACAATAGATTCATAAAGATCCCACTGGGCTAATTAATCGTGCTAAGCGACAGGTATAGACATTTTTCAAGGTGTGACTTTAAATAAGAAATTCATTTATTTACACGAAACTCTTCTGGACCCTGTGGTCATGGACGAAACTAATAAAAGAAAAATCCGCAGTATTATTACCAAAGCCATCTAAACCTTTTGTAGTACAGGGTTATGCAGATGGAAAGCCTCTCAGATGACTGACCCAGCCGATTTGATTCAAGCATAAGAACGTACTCACACTGCTAAATGCTTCCAAGACAACAACCACTTCTTCGCTCAGACTGCAGCAATGACTGCCTACCGTTGTGGCATCAACCCCTCACCCTTCCCCCCTTTCCCCTCCCTTTTTCCCCCCTTCCCCTACCCCTTCCCTTCCCCGAATGAAAAATATCTCTCTTTTCTGGATTAAAAGGGAAACTCGAGAAATCAAATGTATTTGGATAAGTTCAGTGTGCTCAACTTAATTGTATTAAATTAGATCCTCTTTGGAATGCAATAGCGTGTCTTGTTTATAATTATGAATTGAATCGTTTAACTGTCAAATAAAAAAAGTGGCTATGAAAGTTTTTGGATAGAGGTCATGAATTTGCCTAATCCGATGTATGATCTACTCAATAACTTTCAGAAGGCCGAATTCTTCAAAGGGGCGCCCTTTTGCGATAAACAAGGTAGACAAGGGTTAGCCCAAAAGTAATTCCGTTATAGCAAAGCGAAAATTTTTATTGTGTCCTTGCTTATTAGTCCTATTTACATTTAACTGACATCGACATCGAAAAAGTTAAGTTACTTAAGGAATTAGGTATATTTATATTTTGTCGCAAGAGAGAATGAGCTAGCTCTTCTCTCTTGATTATCAATATTATGAATTTTGATTTCTTCAAAAAAGGAACTTTCATCTGGCAACTGTGTACAACTACCGTATTTCCTCGAATAATCGTCCCCGATTATTCGAGGGAGGCGATTATTTCCAATATTGCTCACTGGAAGTCGTGTCCTAAATATTTTGTTGTATTATCCCATTAAATCAGAAAATTTTATTGACTGAACATGGGCTTTTTAAGTGTTCCAAATTTGGTTACTTGATAAATTTTCAATGTCAATATCCTCGGTATCAGAGCTTGAATCGTCACTGGTCAGTTTTGCTGGATCGGATTCCACTCTCAACTTGACAGGGAGGGGATAAAAGAAAGAGAAGATGGCGAGAGGGGTGGGGAGGGCATTGATAAAGGGACGGCTGTTATTCCAGGAAATCTGATTGACTCAGTTGCCAAGAAATTAACGTGAAAACACAAAAGCACAAATGCGCGAATGTGGCTCTCTGAGTATGCCAAAGTCATTATCCAGCCGATATCGCCGCCGAGTGCTACGTAATTTCTTTTAACTACTAAGTTGTTATTTGTTATTTTTAATCATTATTTTTGGTGGGGGATACTGTTTTTGATCGTCATGTTTCTCGCATCTCCGTTTCGAACACTTTTAATATTCTATGGATCACTGTACTTGTACACGTGTCAGTCAGTAAGGGAGAGAGAGAGCTGGCATGGTTCTTTTGAGCGACGCGTTGAACGGGTTGAAGTTGAACGGGTCTCAATCACAGGATGCAGATCTTGGCAAACAAATAGGCCAGTTCTCTACCTTTTGTATCTTTACATTGGCTGAATTATAGTCTTTTGGAAGCGACGGAGCTGACATGGTTCGTTTGAGCGACGCGTTGCGAGACTTGTTAAAGGTTTGATTGAAGCTAAACAGGACTAAATCACAGGACGCAGATCTTGCTAAACGAACAGGGTTTTCTTCTTTTTTCTGTAAACTTACGTTCCCTGGATCAAGTGAATTTTTTCGTTTGACGAATTTCACCGCCTCTGTTGCACTGACAGTTGTTGGTGTTCTTATCCGTAGCATCTCGAGCACAGCGTTCCTAAAACGGCGGTCTCTGTAGCAGTAACTTAAAGGATTAACTAAAGAATTTAAAAATTTTGAGAAGTGAATCCGATAACTTCCAGGCAAAGCGTGTATGAAGGGCTGGATAAAATTCTTCCAATATGATGACAATCACACCCGGGAAGAAAGAAAGAATCAGGGCTATGGTAACCACAGCAGTCGTCATTGCAACTCTGTTTTCGAGTTTTGCTTGTATCAACGCCTTGACTTGGTGAATTTGATTTAACTTGCGTTTGCGAACCCCAAGGTAGATCATAATGTAAAAAAACACAATCAGAACTAGGATACACGCTATCAAAACACCCCAACCGATGCTAAGGATGGTGTTGGCTAAAGCCAGAGTCGTTGTATCCTCTCCAACCAATGCCGTCATTATTTCCCTGATGACATATTGAAAGCATTGAGCTACTACCGCTATAACCCATGCTACTATCGCCATCTTTTTTAGGCGGCTTCTAGTCACTATAGTTTTGTAATCGGCCCATCTTCGTATAGCTATGTACCGCTCCCATGCAATCATTGTCAGATGGATAAGAGAGCAAAATGACGAACTGCACATCAGCATATAAGCAACCAAGTTTATCAAACAATAATGCTGGACTGTCAGTATTTGATAGGGAAGTAATAGTCCAACTAAAACAGATAACGGGACGCCTATACCACCTATGAGAAGGTCCGCAACTGCCATACTTGTTATGAGGATATTGGAAAGTCTCTGCAGTTCCCTCCTTTGCTTTACTGCTAGGATTATCATTGCGTTCAAAAGAAATGCAATGGGAGCGGTTATAGATGCAAAGGCCGCCTGAATCCAAGGAGAAGTGATGTCATATACGTCAATACCCTCAATTAGTCCGTTTGTCGAGCAAGAAGTTACTGACTTCGTGTTGTTGGAAAAGTTCGAGGCTCCTTGTTCTTCCCCGTTTCGCGCCATTATGATAACTGTTGTTCCTTGGTCGGGTTTCGATGAAAAGGCCTATTCCCAGTTCGAGCTCCCTCAAGACTTTGTATCTCAGTAAGCGTTACATTCTCATAAAACCGTGATTTTACGGCTTTTGCTCAGGAAAGATGCTAAGAAATAAGCTCGTGGACTAAGTCAGGTCTTGCTGATTGATTACTCCTCTTTACTTCGAAGTAAATCATCTTCACTGGGCTGATACCTCTGGTCACTGAGTTGTTCAGTTTACACTAAAGCAACTTCTTACGCTTTTCCTCTTTCGCGATTCAGTATTTCTCCTGTATTCATGGTATTTCTGTCTCAGTGCCGAAGTTGAGACATTTGACGTTTCTGTCGCTTCTCAATTGTAAGAAAACAACTAGGTTTTAAGAGCTTAGGAAACAACAGCTGCCACGCTGCAACGGATCGATTCAAATGTTAAAATAATTTCCACACACCCAACACCTTTGCTGTTGAATGGAGGAAACGAATCACTTAAAAATTTAAACGAAAAATGACAGTAGAAAATTACATTTGAATATTCTTACTGCAGCCAAGAATTTATCTTTAACGGCATGATAAACACTGTCGCCCGAAAATCGTAGCTCCAAAGAGCGTTTTTCTTATTATTATTCTTCATTATTTATTTCTAGCCGGATTTTTGAAAACGTCACCTCCAGATGGGTCTTGTCCGCCCAACGGTTTTTTTTCTTTGTACCTCAGTAAGCGTTACATTTTCAGAAAAGCGTGATTTTGTGGCTTATGTTGAGGAATTATGATTTTAAGAAATGAAGCTCGCGAACCTCAGGTCTTCAGAAGGGGGGGGGGGGGGGGGGGGGTCATTGAGACCCGGGAAAATGGGGGGGCCCGGGCCCCAAAAATTTTTTTTTCCCTCTTTTGGCCCTCTTTTTGGTTTAAAAATTAGGCCCCGGGCCCCCCCCCGGGCCCCCCCCCCCCAGCGCGTGGAAAAGGGCCAAGAACTCCAGCGCTATTTTTTTTTTTTTGTTTTTTTTTTTTTTTTTGTTTTAGGGTGTTTCTCCTGCTGTGGTTTGTTTTTTTTGTTTTCAGTGTTGGTTTTAGTTGTCTGTGTGATATGGTTTGTTTGTGTGTGTGGGTGGGAAGATTTTTTAGATAGGGAGGGGGGGGACGCTCCGGGTGGTGGGGGGGGGGGGGGGGGGGGGGGGGGGCGGTCATCTAGACTCTGAGATAATGGCGGGCCCGGTCTCCAAAAATATTGTTTTCGCATCTTTGGGCCTCAGTTTGGTCTAAGAATTAGGACCCGGGCCCCTCCCCTGGATCCGCCACTGCAGTGCATGTGAAAAGGGCAAGAACTATCAGCTGATATTCTTTTTTTCAGTTGATCTTGTACTTATGCTTTTCCTCTTTCACGATTTAGTATTTTTCCCTTTTTATTCATTCTAAATTTATCTCAAGCCCTAGAGTGCGTCATTCCTTCTATGTTTGGCTCAGTACGTAATTTTACTGACGAAAACAACCAGATTCAAGTACCATAAGAAAGCAGAACAGCTGCTAAGCTGCAAATGATTCGAAATAAATGGCCACATATACCTAAAGGCTTTATTTTTGAAGGGAAGGAAAAGAATAAAGAAACATTTACGAAAAAAATGCAAAATAAAACTGATCAAGGCACAATAAAAAGGCGCCAGAGAACATCACCGCCGAATTGGAACGCTCATTGCACTGATACTAGCCATCGATATATTGAAATTCATACTTGGCTCTAAGGTTTGGGGTATAAAACAAAATGTTAAATATGTTATTCATTGCTGAGCCTCAAGATGATTTCTTTTGTTTTATTTCCCCAAGCCTCGGGGCCAGGTATGAATTTTAATGTATCGAATTTGGTCTATTAAAAATCATTTCACTCATGTACAGCGTGATAAACGCATCGTGGTGAATTGCCACTGTGTAGATTACATCGATTATAATTCAGCTAATTATCGTATACGGTATATTAATACGCAATAACACCGGAAAATCCTAGCTACGTTCCAAAGAGTTGTCAGTTATTATTGTTATGAAATTATTTACCATATTGCTCGTTTTTGAATTGTCAGAAATCGTCAGTGTTTTGTTAATCATTTTTCTGCAAGTAAACTAATTAAAAACTTACTAATCTTACTACGCGAAAGTACCACCAAAAGATGTCTTTGACTGCACATGAACATAGTATTTTGTCCACTTTGGACTTGGGCCGGAAAATTGCTTTATAAATGATTCGCGTATATTCATACAGATAATATAATAGCTCTAAATGAGAGTGGATTGCTTCATATTAAAACGGCTGATTCCGAATCGACAGGTTTTGGCAAACTAGCGGCTAAATCTGCAGTATAATGAATTTTTCCTCTTGTACTCTTTAAGTGGCCATGAAAACGTTGTCATATCGTCTCCCTACAAACTTTCGCCAATTTTAGTTATGGCAACAATCAGTTGATTGATAGTAAACAAGTATTTGCGTTCTTCATGATTTATTCATACTATAGATTGTTTGGGTGCATAAAAAAAGACACTGACTCAATCAAAAATATCTGTTTATGCCCTTAAAATAAGGCCGTCCCGGAAAGTAAATTACATTAAATCACAAGCTAAATCACAGGATGCAGTTGTTGGCTAACAAATAGGCCAGTCAGTTTTTACCTTTTGTACCTTTGCATTCGCTGAACTACTATCTTTAGGAAGCGACGGCGCTGATATGGGTCTTTTTAGCGACGTGCCCAGTGACCTAAGATGAGCTCGATCTAAGCTAAACAGGGCTAAATTACAGGATTGAGACCTTGCTAAACGAACCGGATTGTCTGCTTTCTCTCTCCCCACGTACTCTGGACCAAGTAAATTGTTTTGTTTTACGAATCTCACCTCTTCTGTTGTAACAACTGTTGGTTTTCTGATCCTCAACATCTCGAGCACTGCTTTCTTAAAACGGGGATCTCTAAAGCAGTAAATTAAAGGATTAACTAAAGAATTTAAATAAAGAAACGAGTCCGATATACGCCACGCAAAACGCGTACGAAGGACTGGATAAACTCGTCCCAGTATACCGACAATCACACCAGGGACGAAAGAAAGAATCAGAGGAATCGTAACCAAAGCAGTCGTCACAGCAATTCTGTTTTCGAGTTTTGCTTGTATCAATACGTTGACTTGGAGAATCTGATTTAGCTTGCGTTTGCGAACTCCAAGGTAGATCATGATATAAAAAGCCACAATCAGAACTAGGATACCAGCTAAAACACAGGCGCTACCGGTGACAAGGATGATTACCGCTAGAGCCAGGGCCGTTTTATCCTTGCCAACAGCTATTGGCATAACGACGAATAGACAAAATTCACCTACGAGCACTATACCCCAAGCTAAAATTACCATCCTTTTCAAGCGGCTTCTAGTCACTATAGATTTGTAATCACTCCATTTTCGAATGGCTATGTACCGCTCCCACGCAATCATTGTCAGATGGATGAGCGAGCAAAACGATAAACCGAACATCAGCATTGAAGGTACCAAGTCCATCAAACAAAAACGCTGGACAGCCACTATTCGATAGGGAAGTAACAAGGCAACTACAGCAGTTAAAGGGACACCAATACCACCTATAAGAAGGTCTGCAACTGCCATACTTGAAAGAAGGATATAGGAAAGTCTCTGCCGCAGTTCCATCGTTTGCTTTACTGCTAAGATTGTTAATGTGTTCAAGAGAAATGCGATGGGAGCGGTTATAGCTGCAAAAGCGGCAAAAATCCAAGGAGAAGTTGTGTCTTGTAGGTCGAACGCCACACCTGGTCCGTGTGTCGAGCAATAAAACACTGAGCTGGTGGTGTTGGAAAATGCTGTCGAAGCTGCTTGTTCTTCCCCGTTTCGGTCCATAGTGATATAACGCTGTTCTCAACTGTTTTCTTAGTGGCCTATTCTTAATTCGAGCTACCTTTGTATCTCAGTAAGCGTTAGATTCTCGTAAAGCGTGATTTTGTGGCTTTCGGTCAGGAATGATGTAAAATAAGCTCACGGACTTATGTCTGGCTGATAAGTGCAGTACTCCTCTTTACGTACCTCGGAGTAAGTCATCTTCAGTGGGCTGATACCTCAGTTGTTTTTCACTAAGTCAAGTTCCTACGCTTTTCACCTTCATTCGTGGTATTTTTGTCTCAATGCCGAAGTTGAGTCATTTGACGTCATTATGTCGCCTCACAATTGTAAGAAAACAACTAGATTTTAAGAGTTTGGGAAACAACAGCTGCTATATGCTGCAACAAATCGATTCAAATGTTAAATAATTTTCACACACCCAACACCTTTGCTGTTGAAAGGAGGAAAATAATCAAACAAAAATTAAAACAACCACCCAAAGCAAAAATATTTAAAGGACAGTGGGAAATACCATTTGAATAACCACGCTGCATCTACGAATTGATCGTGAGTCTTGTACGGCATAATTAAGACTCAGTCACCGGAACATCGTAGCTACAAAAGCGTTTTTCTTCTCCTATCCTTTTTGTTATTGTTTTTTATTTGCTTGTTTGTTTGTTTTTTGTGGTAAAGCTTCCAACACCAAATGTTCGATCAGATATATTTTAAATTTTGCTCCTTATAACAAAACTTTAAAATGTCCCTTTCTTCGTCGCGTTAAGCCAAAAATTTAATGTCCTTCGGTATTCCCCCTATACATTGTAAAAATTAGGAATGGTTAGAAGATAAATTAAAAGAACGGGCACTTTGTAGGTGTACTACCAATAAAATCATATTTTTACTTATTTATCTTTTCTTTTCATTTACTTCATTTTATTTATTATTTTTTCCCAGTAAGTTAACTGCACCTTGGTTGTTCCCCCTTCCCTCTACCCCCTCATGGCACTGTCCCCTACCGGTCCGGTCTCCGGTAGGGGACGTGAAAATAGTGTGTTCCATTAGTACTTCCGTACCAAATACTTTGACACGCAAATAAAGTGCATTATTTTATTTTATCTTATTTTTTTTTATTTTTGGCAGCAACCTTCCTGATTCCGTACTTCATAATGCTTGCCATCAACGGAATCCCTCTGTTTTACATGGAACTTGCTATCGGCCAGTACCTGAGTCTTGGAACAGTAGGAGCTTGGACAGCTCTCTGTCCCATTGCAAGAGGTATGATGAAAAGGGATTGAAACACAAGGAAATACGCTGATAGATGTCACGATCCACACGATCGCTGAAGCTACAGCACAACACCACACCACTATCTGTCCGTGTGGGCGTGGTTGTTACTAAAATCTGAGTATCAATTTTTTGTACTCACTAGAAGAAGTTCAGATGAACATGACGGCGGCTACAAATTTCTCTAAAATACATATTTGAACTTCAAAGTTCATTTGAAGTTCAAGCGAAATGTTAACTTAGTCACTTACCATGTTTTTTCGCCGTCCCGAGCTGTTATTTTGCAAGATGAATATTTCACATGTCAATATATGTCACATATTCATGTCGCAAAATAGGCGACGTTTTCTTTTTACATGAAAAGATTGGCGTTTGAATTAGTGCAGTCCAACATGTCTAAATCCCCGTGCAGACGTACGCAACAGTGTTGGATGTTACATGTTGCCTCCGTTAGCACACCCCGTTGCATGTTGTTTAGCCCCGTGCAAACGGATGCAACATTATTGGATGTTACAATCTTGCGTCCTTTTGCACATCCTGATGCACGTTGTTGCGTCTTGTTGGGAGTTGTTGTTCAAAGTTTGAAACCGGTTAAACATTTGAACCTATAACTCCCAACATTTATTTTGCTCCGTTATCGCCGAAGCGTAGTGCAACGATGTTGGATCCGTTTACACAGCTCTTCCAATATTGTTTGGGCCACGTACTTGCATTAAACGTGATCTCCAAAGTCTTATGGGTTGTTTCCAACATTGTTGGGAGTTGTTGCATCAGTTTGCACACCACTGCCAACATGGACGCAACAATTAACTCCCATTGTTATGTAGCTGAAAATTTCTTCTCAACAGCGCGCAGTCTCATTGGTTACTTCGTGGTCACATGACATCTAACATGAAACTGTTTCTCGCTAAAATTTCTGAGCGAGCAACATTGCAAAAAATCTATGACGTTAGAGGGTAACAATGCAATGTTACCCCCGAATGTTGACCGCTGATTCGCCGTTACAGCGAGGTTTAATGAATTTCCAGCTTCAAAATTTTCAGCTATATAACAAATCACTTAAAGACTGGTCCCTCGGGAAACAGTGAATTTTGTTTCCCAACAATTCGCCTCGGGAACATTGAGATTCTCGGGAAACAAAATTAACTGTTTCCCTCGTAACCAGTCATTAACTGTTTAAGGGCGAGTGGACCACACAGGAATTTCGACTGTGGAGCGACCTATCCAACTTTTCATGTGCCGAATCTAGTGCATAAATTACTATAGTTTATTTTGAATGGTAAGCATTGTAGATATTCGGTACATCATGAAATTGAATTGACTTAGACTCATTAAATTCGACGTTCTTCAACCGTCGAACTTGTATCATTAATTGGGTCGACTCAAATACATGTAGGGTATTAAGTTCGGCGTATGAAAAGTTCAACGTTTGAACTAGGCCTCAGAACTCTATCCTGAGTTTACCGTTTCTCCTCAGGAATTGGATTTGCGATGATCATGGTGTCTCTACTGGTGTCTATTTACTATAATCTGATTATCGCCTGGTGTCTTCTCTATATGTTCGAGGGCTTCAGAAGCGACGTGCCATGGAAAACCTGCGGTAACAAGTGGAATACTAAACTTTGTCAGTGAGTGGTAGATTCCTACTTCCTTAACACAGTACTGTAAGTTACTGAAAAAATGCTATGTAATTAGACGAAATAGCAATGACAAAAACCATTGTTTGAAGTAAGCAAGTTTTTTATTTTCTACGATTTGAAACAGCCTGTCATTGAAACGTTTGGTTCCTATAAGACCAATCTCTCACAGTTTTAATCCTAAAACCGGAAGTACCGAATTCATACGGTGTATTCATTCATTCATATATTCATTCATTCATCCATTCATCCATCCATCCATCCATCCATCCATCCATCCATCCATCCATCCATCCATCCATCCATCCATCCATCCATCCATCCATCCATCCATCCATCCATCCATCCATCCATCCATCCATCCATCCATCCATTCATTCATTTATTCATTTATTCGTTTTACAGGGAAGGTTCGGTTAACGTGTCAGCCTTTAATTGCACTGCACTAGGTTATGCTGCTGGTTGCAAGAGTACTTCACCGTCCGAGGAGTTTTTCAAGTAAGTGTATACCGACATCGACATTTGCTGGTTAATGATAGATTAACTCCCAAACATCCCTAGAATGTACCAACAAGAACATAAGCTTTATTTGCATGACTATAATTATGTAGTTACAGTATTGCAAAAGCTTTAACATAAAGTTACAATTTATAACAATGATAATGCAATGCAATGATTACTACAGTCAATCAAGTGTTGTTAGCATGATTTGATAACAAATTAGTACGTAAATCATTACATAATGAGATAAATTTCAACAAATGTGAATTTACGGAAAAATTCTGTGAATTCATCAATTTAATTATTAATTCTGTGTAAGATACCTGATCAAAGTCGACAAAATTTCGTTGGATTTCCGTTTTGTGCAGACTGTGTCTCCATTCATTTCAACCCCTGAGAGGCACCAAAAATCAGTTGAGAAGCAAAAACCTCACGCCATTTTTCGGCTTCGAAAAGGTTCCGCGACAAAACAACAAGGGTGCCAATCCACAAATTTTACTCCCTAAAAGGCACGACCAACCTCCCCTTCATTTTGATATGAGAGTATACCCCCCTTCACCCACCCACCCCGAATAAGCCCTGGTCAGATTTGCAAAACGTCAAGAGATCCACTCACTCCTTTTCCTCATATTACTACCAACACTCGAAGACACTTTCATCAGTTTTTGTGCTCAAGCATAGTAACCTTTCCAAGACCTCAACCGGTGCGATAACTTCTATTGAAATATTTTAAGGTAGTGAGGTGAGGTTATCCCTCTAATGCCTGTTATTCTAATAAGCTCTTCTTTACTCAGCCGTCACATTCTGCAAATATCCGATAGTATCTCTGACATGGGTAGCGTTAGCTGGCAAATTGTCCTGTGCTTGGTTCTTGCTTGGATTATTGTGTACTTATGTCTCTTCAAAGGAGTAGCGTCTTCTGGAAAAGTAAGTCATGATCATTTAAGTGCAATTTTCATATTCCTCTATTATAAGGGAATTCGGATTCTGGAATCCCGGAAATGGTTGCTTGTGGAATCCGGTCCCCTGCAAATTTTTGTTTTGGAATTTGCAATAAAGCTTAAGAAATCCGGTATCGCACTAACGATTGGAAACCGGAATCCAAGTTCCACTGACAAAGAATCCGGAATCCACTACCTGGAATCCGGAATCCATAGCGTGGAATCCAGAATCCAAGACTGTCTTGGATTCCCTTACATGGGGTGATAAGTCGAAAAGGCAACATAACTCTGTTTTTTAACCGGTGGTTTTTTGACAAGAGGTACTAATAACCCGCTTGTGCTTATACTTGTTTCATACTTTTAAACGAGATTACAGGTTCTTTTTGTCATGATGTTCCACGTAACCTTACTCTTTATCATAAAGGCCCGGTAGCTCGAAATAGCCATCAGCCGAATAATACACCCGAGACCGGCGATGCGCTCATTTTACCCCCTCTCTCCACCAGCGCTTCGTTAACAGGTTTTAAAAGGAAAGAGTCTCGGAAAGGCAAGAAGCCGAAACTAGGATTGAGGTCACACCTAAGAATCCACGCACTCGGAACCTCACGGTGCACAGAAGTATAGTAACCAGCTGTGCCAATTCTTGCTCATTTGATCAGTCACCAAATATGGAAATGTACCATAATCTCGTACCCAGAACTCTTGTCGACGAAGAGACGAAGAGATCTGGGTACGAAATTAAATGTGCCAGTTCCACAGCGCATTTTAAGGTGTTTCGATACAGTTTTCAAAGGCCATACCGATATTTTTCAATCGCCTTAAAACTGGTTTTTCCTTGTCCGATCGCTATAAAATTTTCACCGGTAAGAGAACGAAAATACACCAAAATTTCCTAGCGTCGAAATATGATATTACGCAGCATTCTGACACCACTTAATAATTTAAGAATAATTTGAGTCATTTATAACGTTTTTATTAACTAATCTATCACGGCTATTGAAAGTTTAAGGTTTGAAGTATATTTTCGTATTAGTCGAATTCAAACATACTGACGTTTTTACTTCTTTGGGAGGTTATTTGCCACACACCAAACTTTAAGTTCCTAGTGTTGGATTTTCAGTAACTGGTCTAGATCGCGCAAAATTAGACGTCTATCAATTTCAAAGGTTTTTGTTTATTGTTGTCATGGTAATATCAATTTTACTAAAACCTACATTTTGACAAATTTCAATCTATAGTCAATCATTGGTGAAAATTTTATAACGATTAGACAAGGATAAAATCACTTTTAAAGGGATTGAAAAATATCGGTATGGCCTCTGAAAAACTATCGAAACACCTTAACTCTCTAACGTCCTTTGCACTTGTTCCAAAAGTGCTGAGCTGCGTTGTTCTTTTTTCATGATTATGATAATGATTACGATTATGATTATAATTATTATTATGATGATGATGATGATGATGATTATTATTATTATTTTTATTCAAGCCAGTTTAAAACTTTAACTTAAAATACAAAATCATCTTCCTCATGTTTTCCCAAGGCTTAAAATGTCACCACACATTTAAATATGTACCCATTGACATTCCAGTCCTAGTAATATACAGAATGTCTGTCACATGAACCTAATTATGGTAGCCTTAGCTCTCAAGAGTCTCCTGTAGCTTAGTGGTAGAGCAACAGGACGGGTAACCAGAGGGACATAGGTTCGACTCATCGTGGGAGTCGCTTTAAGTTTGTCATTGACTGGAAAAGAAACGCCATTTTCAAACTCAGCGGGCTTTTTCATAGGGTCTTCGATGAGCTATGCAACTATTAAGCGAATAAGGTTTGAAATGGTTATCGTTTAATCATTTTCAATGAAATACCTTCAGTTTGAAACTTATGTAGAATGCATACATGTAGAAGCTCATATTCTTATTTCGTTACTCATTATCAGCAAGCGTGAGCTAAGAGGTAATCTTAGTTCAGTAGTTAAACTGGCCCCTTGCTTCTTGTTTGTAAACAGATTAAGTAAGTGTTGTTGACGTTGCAGAATTCCTCTTCAGTTATAGAGTTTCCGTTTCTGTTGAGTGATGTACAATACTGTCACTTTATTTCAGGTCGTCTACTTTACTGCCACCTTTCCATACATCGTTCTTTTTATTCTTATGATTCGTGGAGCTACACTCGAAGGATCATTAGACGGAGTGCTCTTTTACCTCAAGCCAGACATCGCTAAGCTTAAGGACCCGAGGGTATGAACAATTTTTTGTTAATCTTCCCTGAGTGTACAGCTGGTGTACTTTGTTAAAAACAAAGACATCAAAGTGTTTAAGCTTCTTCGCTACTGAATTCCGTAATGATTTTGTTTATTGAAAGGACAAATTCCTTTGCAGTAGTTAATCACGTGCCGCTAGATAATAAGCTATACATGCAGTAGTCACTTTATTCCTTCCTTTCTCTAAACAAAAATTTTCATTATGGGCTGATTATAAATTATAGCGAAACGGTTGTACATGGATGAGTGTCACCCAGACTCCCCGTACAATATTGCGGGTAATATTATGCAAAATTGCATCGTCTGCCCCCCCTCCTCCCCCCTTAAATGTTTGCATTATTTTTCTGGCACAATACTGTGCTGTAAAATCTCCTTCTACAACATAGCCTGCGAAAACAGCCACCTCTCCTTGCTCCTCGCCGCTAGCGTAACGCCCTGCTGTTTTCACAGGCTATCTACAACACTGAAAGCCCTCAAAAAATTTAATCGTCTGCACGCCATCTGCAACACATGTCTTCGAATTTAACCACCCACCCAAAAAGGCAGCGTAAAGGCCCAAGAAATGTTTCAGCGGGTAGCCACATCGATTGATACGTGTTGATGGAGATATTGCAATTCTAGATATGTATAAGAAGGGGGAACAACAAAAATTCAGGTAGCAGCAAAAGAGCCGCGCACTCGAGAAAATAGACTTCAGGTGAACCTCTATGTGCGACCAACTCTTCTATCGTAAGCGACCACACCCAATCGAGCCATTGAGGCGGGAAGGGAGGAGTCGCTTACGGTAAGTGTGGCTACTGTATCACATTATTGTCTTAATTAATCTCTAGGTCTGGGTTCGAGCAGCATCTCAGATCTTCTATTCTTTGGGAGTCGGGTTTGGATCTCTAATTACCTTTGGAAGCTACAACAAATTCAATAATAATTGTCAAAGGTAAGAAACACTTCAGCTTGGTTTTCCTTGATGATCGCTACGCGCGCTACGATCACTAGATTCGGTCAAGAGATGATAATGGGTCCTATTAAGATCTTTTGAATCGGTGTGATGCTAGCAGTAACAAAACAAGTTGCCCTGGGGGGGGGGGGGGGTACTCCCTTATATAAACCGTATAGGTGTGTGCTGCCCCAACCGGTTGTTGTTTTTTTTTCAGCCTTTTTGGTCTGAAAACGGGTACGGTTTTCGAGGGAACTACGGGAGCGCATGAACGTAGTTATCGTTTCAGTTCCAAATTAATAGGAACGAAATAGAAATATGCGAATTCGAAATGCATTTGAAGAATTTTTTTGTTTGTGCTCTAATATATGTAATGATGACATAATTTCTGCCTAAAGGCGGGGTCTGAAAACGCGCATAAAAATTGGAGGTCTGAAATAGGTTCAGGATTTGGAGAAGCGGGCGGCACACCCCCACCAAGAATTCCCCGGGACAAATTGTTCTTCCAATGGATGTAGCTAGCAATGGCAGCGACCTTTGTGAGAAGGGTCTTCGAAATATCCTTTAAAGAGGCTGTGACATGGCTGGCTGCCTGATTTTGTTTATAAAGCCAATTACGGGTCCTTATTTGCTATAGAACTTGAAATTACTTGTGAATGACAACATCACAACTTCGTGTCAAGCAATGTTTATAATATACCTTCTTCTAACGTTTTGAGCAGTTATTTTCATGCTTCACCCATCTTGTTGGCGGTAGTACTCACTGTTTGAATTTTGATAAATTTCGTGACACATCTCCTTTAAGCCCGGATTTCATAAAATTACTCCCATAGTTCTGAACACTGGACTTTTTCCGAGATCGTGGTAATCGTAGCGATCACTAGGAAACCAAACCTCACTGTGCGTATACTTTTCAGACTCATTAATAATTTATAAACATAATACAAAGGAAATTTAGTTTTAATAAGTCTTTTGAAATCATATTGCCTTAATTTCTTCTTCTAAAGTTGTTCATCAGAACTGTTCGTGCATCTTCGAATATTGTAAGGCACTGTGTGAAGATTTTCCGAAATCTCGTAACAAAAAATGGGTCATTAAATATCTATATACACTATCGATATATGAAAGGGTATACATTTTAGAAATAAATCGGCATCAATTGAAAGAATTAACTAAAGATTTTTTGGTTCGCTATAAATTGATTGTGGAACTTTCGCGTATTTTCAATTTCGCGAGCGCACTAAGCTATAATACGCGCGGATCAAGGTATAATCTTTAGAACCATACTGCGACATCACGAAAGATCCATAAACACACAAATTTTTGTTTTTTCCACAGGGACGCCATCCTTGTAAGCTGCATCAATTGCGGGACAAGTTTCTTCGCAGGGTTTGTCGTGTTCAGCGTGCTGGGATTTATGGCCCACGAGCTTAAAACTAGTGTTGGGGAAGTGGTAACGTCAGGTAAGCCTGGTCTGAACTACATGAATTTAATGAACATATGGGGCTAAACAAGTCCTTAGCTGTGCTTGGAATGCGCTCAGATGCGTATGTAGGATTTTTCAAAGGAAATTAGGGCACATTGTTTGACACCTAGAGAACTTATTAGGTTTGTCAAATGTCGACATACATTGTATACATTGCACAAATATAGTAATTGAAACTTTTAAATGCGAAGTTTTCAGGAGAAAGTATAAACGCATCACAAAAAATGAAAAAAGTCTTTCTCTTTTTGAACAAAATTTCTGCCACTGGCAATTCATTTCCAAGATAAAATCGCTTATGTTTTACAAATTGAGCTGAAGAGTTTGGAATAGTGGCAGAACACAACGCACCTTTTGTTGTAATGTCGCGCGCGGTTGAGATTGCAAGTTGAACAGGCTCCCCAGTGTATCCTTAGCAGAAGGGGAACCTAGAAGTTTTGAACTCACTGTATTGTAATATAAATTTTTGCTCTGTTGTTAGGTCCTGGACTTGCATTTGTCGGTTACCCAGAAGCCATTGCCCAGATGCCTGTCAGTTCTATGTGGGCTTTCCTGTTCTTTTTCATGCTTCTTACTCTTGGGTTGGACAGTCAGGTAATGAACAATCGTATGCCGTTATAGATTTAAATATTAGAGAGTTTAAGATTCACGTTTACGCCAAGCGGCAAGCGTGAATTTGTACCACGTGACCAAGTTTCCCCTTAATTTCCGTTTGCTGTTTATTACTTCTACACAAAAATAAGTAGTTTCACGCCAGTTTTATCCCTAGGAATTGTTCCGGACAGGTTTTAACTGCTTATTTTCTATTCTGAGAAATTCTCAACCAGAATCTGCCGTTTGCCGTTTTCCGTTTGCCGTAAACGCGATTCTTAATCTCTCTATTGATGGTGAGAGCACGCTAATGCATCAAATTTGACGAATATATTAATTGCTGAACTCTATTAAACTACCCTATTAAGATACCGTAAAATTCCGAAAATAAGCCCCTCCATGTATAAGCCCCCAAAACTCGAAACGTAAAAAAGCCTCCGTTAAATCGCCCCTCCAAGTATAAGCCCCCCGGGGGCTTGTACTTGGAAAATTGCCCTCAAACACAAAGTAAAACAAAGAAAAACGGTAAATTTCCTACCAAGGCTAGGCTAGCTAGGCTAGCTAGCCCCTCCGAATATAAGCCCCTCCAAAAATAAGCCCCTGAAAAAGGCCTTTGAAAAATATAAGCCCCGGGGCTGAAATTCTGTTTGAAAAAAACTTGACGATTTACAAAGAATTTATCTTTCATTAACTTTTTTGCCATCCAGCAATTTCAAAGTTTTTGAAAGCTATTATTTACTTTAAGAATTGCTTACGAAGACCTTAAAATTAACTTTTGAACTTGATTTGTATATACGGCGACGCCTTCTATGGGTTAACGCGTATGTTCTTGAGCAAAAAAAAACGTTAATTCTGTAATTCAACTAACTTATTGGTATTGCTGGTTCAAGATCCTTATTTTGGAAGCAAGTGTGGTCTCTTTGTGAGAGCACTCGCCCACTACCAATGTGGCCCGGGTTCAAATCACGGGCTCGATACCATATGTAGGCTGACTTTGTTGTTGCTTCTCTCCTTTGCTCCCAATTTTTTTCTCTTGGAATGGATGAGGAAGACCCACTATGTAGTTGTGCTACCTCTAAAACGTCATTTTGTTTGTTTATTTATTTACTTATCCTGTCTGTTTATAGTTTGCCATGGTGGAGTGCGTGGTAACAGGCCTTTCAGATGAGTACCCTAAATACCTCAGACGTTACAAGCCTGTTTTCTTGATTTCTGTCTGCGTTTTGATGTTTCTTTTAGCCATCCCCATGTGTTCTCAGGTAGGATCTTGTTAACTATTGTCTGTAATTTGGCGTGCGCGTCTCTAGGCCAACACAAAGCTAGATTTATGATCTGAGACAGAAGATCGTAATAACTTGTTATATTGACGAGCAAACCTAAGACGGTCATTTTATCCCGTAGCAATGTCATAATACCCATTAAAAGCTTTGTAAGTTATTCTTCTCGAATTAATCTGTATTGCACAGCGGTTTTCCGTGACTCACATCCGGAACTTGCATCGCATCCAGGACTTCTTAAATAGAGAGAGCGAGTGAAAAATGTCGTTATTGAGTGTAAGGGCGGCCATGATAAAAGTGTGTTAATTTTACAAGCCTCTTAATAGCGGTAAGGCTAAACTTTATTGTCTTCTTCTTTTTTTGTCAGGGGGGTATGTACGTTTTTAACCTGTTCGACATCCAGTCGGGAGGAATTTCTCTTCTTTTCATTGGATTCTGTGAAGCAGCCGTCATTGGTTGGGGAGTTGGTGAGTATATATTTTCTTTGAAACCCAGAAACAATTAAACGTGAAAACCAAATTATAAATAGTTTTTTTTGAGGTTTATTGTGTTGTAAGAAAACAGGCAATCAGATGTGGGAAAACTAAACCGCAAACAGTTACAGTAGTAGGTTTGATAAGCAGAAGATAGATGACTCAGCTTAAGAACGTGAAAGCACTTAATAAGCGACATTACCATTTCTTTATGATTGCTATTAAAAGGTCTCCAATTGATGGTGGGAAGGTCTTTCTCCCTTTCCCCCTTATCTGTACTTGACTGCTTGAAAACCGTTACTTTTACTGCCCAAAGTGAGGGTGCCACCCTCTTTCCCTCCCGCGAGGCTAGTACCGTTAGGCTATTTTCGCACTATACCAGATTCGTCATACGCCAACCCAAAAACCATGCCGGGTAGGAGGATAGGGCTTCTGTTTACATATAAGAAACGATGATTTCGGCTCAATTTCTGTAACGGAAGGACGCGGCGCCGCGCCGATCTTGAAAGTGGCTCGTCATGAACATATCGAATAGCTTTCTGCTATTCGTCGTCGCAGAGCGAACAGGTGTGAGCAGGAGCGAGGATTGGAACCCACGTCTAGTAAGCAGGAGTAAATATTCAGGAGCGAGAATTGCGATTTAGTGTACCAAGTCCTCTCGGCCAATCGCTCTGGGAGGATTCATGGTGTAAAAGGGCCTTGTTCTATTCCCGAAAAGCTATCTGGTATCGTGTAGACAATTAGCCTTAGTGGTAAACTACGAAGGATAATAGGCATTGCCCTTTTTGTGGATGCAATGTAATAGAAGACGAAGTTCACTTTCTTTTTCAATGTCCTACATACTCTATGATTAGAAATAAATTTTACTATAAAGTCGAGATTCCAAATACTACCCAGTCACCTATAAACGGCTTGATCAATGAATCGATGAACTCTTCTAATTACTTTATCAATATACAATTCACAAAATATATTTCAGCTTGTTTTGATGTTCGTGACAAATTATTATCAAAGTAACGTAATTGCCCTGTGTTGTAATTTTGATTCTTAAACATAGCATGTGTTTGTATGGTCATGCAAATAAAGCTCGTTGTTGTTGGTAAGGGGTGAAGAGTTTCGGCCGTAATATTGCAGTCTTCAAGAGAGTCAATAAAAGAAGCTTTTTACGTTACATGTGAACATCCAGCATGAACTCAACATTTAATCGCCTATTGTATTCCTAATATTTCAGGTACAGAGACACTTGCTGAAATGATCGAAAAGATGATTGGCCATCGCCCCAACATGTTTTTCCTCATTTGTTGGAAATATGTATCACCAATCGCAACTCTGGTACAGTTATTTCATTTTAAAGAAGATTATCTTCGCCTTATTTGCGACATTACGGAAGTAGCGCCGGCATGCTGTTTTAACAAACCGAATGATCAAACTTCGCCTAGGGGCGGGGGGTGGGGGAGGGGGGGCGCGGAGGGAAGGGGGAACAAAGTGAACTTGAAACGCAGTCAAAGTTATTCCCTCCACAGGATCCTACAGGGATCCACTAACAGTAACTTGTTCCCGAGCTTCTTAGATCCCTCGTCGTGTTGTGTTATTTATTTTATTTACAAAATCGCTTATTTCCCCTTTGTAAACGGACGTTGTCTTTTTTAACGGTCGGCGCGACCAGTGGTAGCCAAGCCTTTTGACGTGTATAAGATGAAGTACATGAAAAAGTTTCTAAATAGTCTTAGGTTCTGTCGAATTATAGGCTCTGGCTGATTTCACGTAAAGCGCTCTCACGGAAAAAGGCATCATTTACGAAAGATAGAAATATACTTGAAGTTTTTCGACCAGATAATTCTGACAACACAGGGTGTTGATAAATTGTAGCTTAGATCGTCCAAATAATAGGTAGCCCATAAAGGCTTTTTTTAAGCAAAAAATTTTGCTATATTTTAGCTCAATAATCGCTACATTATAACAGAAGGCAATGATCTCATTTTATGTCTTTCCTTTATAGGTCATCATCTTAGCTAGTTTGGTTCAGTGGACTGGTATATCATACGATAACAAGCCATATCCTGCATGGGCCGAGTTCTTCGGTTGGCTTCTTGCAATTGCATCTATGATAATGATTCCAACATTTGCTATTATACAGTATTTCTCTTCCAGCCAAGGAGGCTCATTTGGTTCGGTGAGTGTTTTATTTCCCTGATGGTTGAGTCTCCGTTTTACTTTAACCGGTGTGTGATCTGTTTTCAGTATTCGAACTGATATATGCATGTTTCGGTCATCAGATGGAGACGACCTTATTTGGCATGAAATAGTTAAACTACTTGTCATGCGGCGTGATAAATAATTAACTCAATTTTGGTAGTGGGCAAATACTGTGACAAGAAATGCAAGCAAGAGCAGCAAGCAAGAGTGAAGTTGGAATAAAGAGCGAGCATTTTCGCTGAACATCTGGAACAGGATATAACCTGGTGCAATGAGCAATCTAAACAAATGATTGCTGGCCGTCCTCCTCTTTCTATAATTCAATAAATAAGTCCTTTTTTCTAGGAAAACAAAGCAAATTTTGATAACACGGTATCAATACTCGGTTACCATGGTAACGTCAATGTTGACGTACTCGTCACGACGACGGTAAAATGTTTCCAGATAATTCTTTAAAAAGGCCTATCGGTCTAAGCAGGTTTAAAAATAAATACATTTCGCCAGTGCTGAGGTATAATTTTCCTTTTTTTTGCAGAGGATGAGGTCACTGCTACTTCCCGATGAACACGTGATGAATGAGGTCAATGAAAGAGAGGGAGTGAGCAGAAAGGCTTTGGACATTAAATAAAACTTGCAAGGTATGTTGAATTCTTGTTTTCTCAGACTTATCTTAAATAGCTTTTTCTTTGACAAATAAAAGATTGATCAAATTAACCCTCGAACGTACAAGGGAGGGGGGGGGGTTGCCACCCCTGTCTAAGGTTTTTCTGAGTTTTTTCCTAGGCGATAAAACATCACGTTTGCAGTAGCAGTTCGTTTTTCCCTCGCGCCCAATTTGAGACAAGTTTGGTGATGGACTGGTTACTATAGCTGCTAGATTTGACGTCATAAGTAGCAGCTGGCCAAGAAATAAAGTAAAGCTTGCGCATAAAATGATGCGAAGTACTTTTTTATGGGTTATTTTACATGTCAAGCACAAAAAAGTACCAATTGTAGCCGTTTTTACCTGATTTCTAATTCTTGGTGAAATCAAGGATGGCGACCATGTTTGGTGATGTCACAGGCCTCCAGCAGCGCCACCACGCATAAAATATACTTCATCTTGTTAAGACGATCAAAGGCTTTCCACTGAACGCAAATCGTTTCGAAGTACTGCAACATATCAAACACTCTAGGGAGGGGTTCCGTCAACCCCCTCTTGTACCACGGTGGGGTTATGACTGCGTCTATGTACGAGGGTTAAGTTCTTGTTAGGTTTTTCTCTAAGAGGTGCGTCCATTTTGTGTGGTAGTCTATCTTTCTTGTACACAATATGAAACCATGAGAAACCCATCCCTGGTATTCAAGCGAGTATGACAATGTATAATATTGTATTATACAATGTTATCGCCGGTTTTTATATTATCTTTTTATATAATTCTTTTTTTCGTCGTTCGATATCTTTTCTCTTTTTTTAGTAAAAAACTAGACTTATCTCAAGACCAAAATCAAACTGTCTTTTCCGTTAGTGTTTTAGGAAATCGCTATTCAATAGGCGTCCTGTTTTCCTCTTTTTCTCTTTTTAGCAACCATTATTTGACCAGTTTCCACGAAGTTTGACACTTATCCTAGAAGCCTGGTCGAGAGACACGACTGCAGTTGTATTATATGTATTAATGTGATATACAAGTATTTTGATTGAATTTATTTTGAAGGCCTGCTGGTTTATCAGGAAACATACTAATTTTGCTAACTGTTTGAGTGTGAAATAAAAATCGCTGCTTCTATTTATCATTTTTTATTCCGCTTAAAGCTGCATGTCAGTAGGGCAAAAGAAATATTGAGCTAAGAAATGCATGCTGTATTTGAACTTTAAATTTTATGGGTGTCTTTATCCCGGGTTTTGTAAGTATAATGGCAACAAACAATTGTAACCATTTTTAAGGGAAAAACCTTTATTCCTACGATGCTACAAAATACACCTTTTAGCTCACTTAACCCTTTACGCCTTACGAGTGAGCATCATCAAATTTCTCCTTGATACTTAGGGCCTGTTTACATGGAGGTGGGAGACACCAGGTAGGTGGCGTAACCCGCCTGTCACATAATCTCTCATTTTAATGTGATCACGTTTACATGATAGGTGGGGTGACCCGCCACATGTTACTTCACACACCGGGGGTCCCCCACCTCTATGTAAACAGGTCCTTAAACAAATTCTCCCCAATACTTCTACAGGAAACGTACAGGGGTGACAAATGAGGATCTGAACTTTGGGTAAACCTAACATATCAATTGCAGGTGATGCAATTTTATTAGAAACCACGCGCAACGTTTTCATAGGGGCCGTCCCTGAAATTTTTCACAAGTTCTTCAAGATTCAGTTTCAGATGGATATTTCGGACGGAATTTTTTTTTCATGGGATGTTATGATCATATTAGAGTTTTAAAGAATTGCTTACGCTATTTTGGTTAGACTAAGTAATGTGATGTAATATGATGTGTATTAAGAATATCCACGTTTACTTTTCAGTGTCAGAATAAATTTATTGTAAACTATCTCCTGGCGCTTTGTTTGTTTTCCTTCTACGCATTTTTCCCCTACAGCTGTACTTACATTTTTATGGGAAAACAAGAATATTCCGCAAAGGTTGGCGGGAGTTAAATAAATTCAGCGCAGATTAGAGGTGTACAAAGGGTTGTAAATACCTTAGAATCGCAAAGATTCGCTCCTTCCTTTCCTCTAGCTAAGCTAAAGGAAATGATTGTCTCAATTACGAGTTTCCCTATAACAGGCATCGTGACTTGATTTAAAAGTGTAGTTCTCAGTATCCTTTGTGATGATTCACGATTCTTCCCACAAGCCCCAACCCGCCACCAAACACCCACACCGCCTAACACCAACACCACCAAGACCTTCAGCAACATATTGCAGGTGGAAAAGACATAGACAAGACAATATTTATACGGTGTCGTACACCAGATGGTACATCGCCTTTTCCCAAATAATTCAAACTTATAAATTAACTAGCTTTAAATTACTTTCTATCTCGAAGCATTCAAACACAAGCCTTGCTGTTAATTTTTTTATTTCAGCCTTACCGCTGGAAGGATTTATTAGAAACGTATTCGATATTTCGTTTGGCGACATTCTGTTCACTCTCATTGAGTGGGTCATTTGTCGAGCAATCGAATAAAGCTTTTCTTTTATCCGGCCAGGCGGGACATATTCGTCCTCCTTAAAGCTATGCCAGCCGCAGGATTGAATAATTATGATTGGCCAGTTGCTCACTCCTATAATAGCTATCCTCCATTGGAGAGAGGGAAAAATAAAAGCGCACCGCAAGCTTACTATTAATATTATTTTAATTTGGAAGAAAGAGATTTTTTAACACTAGAAGGCTCAGAAAGAATTCCGAACCCGGGTGAGAATCGAAATCACGACGCCCTCCGAGTTCTAGTTCGGACGCTCCACTAACCACTGATCTACTGGAGGCTCTATGGTGAGCAGGGCTCGAAATTTAATTTACTAAAAAAAAAAAAGATTAATAATAAATAATAATAATGAACTTCATTTATAGCTCAGGCACAGTGCCTTACTAATTCATTGCTATTACTAATGATTGCTATTTTTACCCAATACAAAGCAGGCGCCTCTGCGGAGGTGACAGTTACCTAGGCCGTGTTTCGGGTGACGGGTCCCGTGCATGCTATTTTTACTACTATGCCCCTTGCTTTTTCTGAAAGTACATTCGCTTCTGATCCATTAGCTTCCTTTACCTAATCTCAAAACAACTTCTTGAAGCTTGACGTCTTGATGGCAAGCATCGGATGGTGCCTCCTCACAGCTTAAAATGAAAAAGTAAAGATTTTGATCAACTGGTTAGCTCACTTTGCCAGACAGGTAGTATCAGTGCAGACTTCAGAGCGGTAGCAGGGGGGAGAAATAAACGCCAACCGCTTTTGACACCCGTTAGACCAGAGTGGTTAGGCTGGAATGATAGGCTGGGGTTCGATTTCTGGCCAACTAACACTGAGAGTCTAAAAACTTAAATTAACAATGGTTAAGGTACTGCCTTTGTTCTGGTATCTACAAATGGCAAAGCCTTCGTACATAAAACCCGGAGGCCCCGTATATCACAGCGTCTTTCACGGATCTCACTCTTGTCGGACGTAACCGGAGCCACTAGAGACAGAACAAAACTCTGGCAACGACCTTAAACAACCTGTCCATTGTTTGACTAAATCTGCTGTTTATTTGGACCCCCTGTTTGTTAACAAAGAGTTCATAGCTCGATATGCACAGCTGTAAATCAGTGCCATTCTTACTCCTTAAAATAACACACCTCAGTACCACAAATTGTATCCACTTTTAGCCCTAGCGTTTGTTAGCCTGAGCCTATAAATAGTTACTCGAGAAAAATATGGCATAATATCTAACCAACCTACTTAACCGGTAAGATGGACATGACAATCAACTCACCAAGATAACCTCTGCCTTTCGCTCGCGGTTGACATCATGCTCCCGTTCAATCTGGGAGAGCATCTTCTCGTCTGGCTTCAATAATGTGTAAAAACGCTTCACAGGGAGAAAAAAAAAACGTTAGGTTATAAGTTAATTGAATTTTGAAATTCCAACTGTAAAAAGATCAGAAATGAGCATGCGCGGGGTAAAGACACGGGAAAAGATGGCTTACAGAGTTGCCTTAAAGTGAAGACAAATGGGAGTTCCGTAAGGGACATGTACAATACAATGTACATTTAATTTAAAGAGGGTTAAAATTCTGTACAGGTATATAATGAAATACTGATTAACTTGTAGCCAAACAACTAAACTTATTAAAGCTTTACAACCAATTGGAAAAAAGGATGAAACCAAGTTAAAACCAGACGAGCTGAACGAACTGAGCGACCCGCAATGATGATCTCCGTGTCTTATCCGGTCTGTGTCACTCACTCAAGAAAAAATAATTAAATAAATAATAAATTTTATTTATACATATGTGCATAAGACCTAACAGGAAAATTAACATAAATAAATACTGAGCCAACTTTTCGTGTCAAAAAAAAATTGTAGCCATCGTTGCTTGAATGATCGCAATGAGAAAGTCGACTTTTTGTAATTTATATAAAACGCACAGAGTTTTATTTCCTTAATTTTAAATGTTAGTTTCACATTATTCAGTTCAGAAAGAGCCGATCGAAAAGAGGTATCCTGTTCACAGTCCCCCATTTTTTTCCGTAAGATCGTCGAGATCAAGTGAATGCATTACGGGCGGCCATCTTGGTTTCTCGCCTCCTTACCGCCTCCTCCCTCGCCCCCCAGGTAGATTTGACACTCATTCCCAGGCTAAACTCGGAACATTTGAAACCAAGATGGCCGCCCGTAACGGAAAGCGCGATTTTTAATGAGGCTTTGACAAACCTTGTTAAAGTTTGTCTAAATTTCGAGACATTTCGTAACCAAAAAACTTTCGCTGCCCCACCGACCAGTAAAGGTTCCCCAACTAAGGACATAAATGGCCAGAGGTGGAGACCCCAGAATCACAAAGGTCAACCTGCACCACGTCTGGTATGATAAACGAACGACAGCATGTGAAATTCAAAAACAGTATCCTCACCTCCGTAACAGTTCCCGGAGTTTTCCAGAGCTGGTAAATCGCAAAGGCGGGAATAAGCACCATAGAACTCAGAGCCATGAGCCAGCCGAGAAACTCAGCCCATCCGGGGTAAGGCTTGTTGTTATACGATACACCCTTCCACTGAATTACATTCGCCAAGATGATGACCTGCAATTTATTCAGTTAGATTAAAGAAAACAAGCAATGACCGTTTTCGCAAAGTCTTATAGGAAGAAATGGGCCCCTGATCTTCTTTTTATCAGTATCAGTATCATTAATCATTGATATATTGTCATTACATAGAGTGGTTTTCGTTTGAGTGTCGTAAAACCAAAACCAAAGTAATTACTCTGGCCAATCACATAGGACACAGACAATACATTGAACCAATCAAAACTCGAAGTAATTACATGTGGCTGACGCAAAGAGCGCGTCACAATTGGCTTTGGTTTTACTTCTCATTGGATGAAAAGGTGGCGCGAATCTTTTAAGCCAATCGCATCGTGTAGAAAGTGCAAAACCAATTACTTTTCGACACTCAAATGAAAACCGCTCTATCATCATGATTGTGATATCATTATTATTATCATTATCATCATTATATTCGCTGTTTGTGATTTCCCTTGGTTTACAGAATCACTGCTTCAAGAAGAGCGATTATACAAAAGAAACACTCGCGTGTGAAATACTTTTTATTTAGGAATGCCTATCTGGAACGGGTAATATCCATTTTCATATGCCGTGAAACTGCAGAGGAAATGGCAAATGTTTTCAAGAGATTCCACGCAGAGGAAAGGATGTGAATTGTGCTAAGAAATATTTTGAATTAAAACAGTTGTGAATTCAGTATACCAAGAGTATACTGAGTTAATAGTTTAAAGTCGATTTCCCACGTAATGCAGGAATTAATTTTTAGATGGAGAAGGGGAAAATTTCAGTTACCACAAATTTGCGCGGGGCAAATACGGTGCAAAAAAATATGACGTACGTAGGCGCATAGGTGTAGCATTTGAACACTTCCTTTGTCCCCTCTAACGGGATTTTGACCACAAACTTTGCCGCCAACTGCGGTGTTGTTATCCCCAGAAAGGGATGTTTTATCAAATTTAAACTATTTTTCAGTCCCAAGGGTCGGGAATTTGAGCAAAAAAATCAATTGCCGCACCTATGCCCGTACTTCCATCCCAACCCCCTACGTTCAAACATTGATACCTGCATATAGGACGTTTAGCTTGCGTGGAAGGCGTTCGAAAGGGAGGGGAAAGGTTACTTGGCACGAGACCTTCCCCCCTTCCTCGTGCGCCATCCGCGCTTTTCAAGCGCCCGAAATCCCCTTTACCTCTACTTTTGAACGCCTGCCACGCAGGCTGATAGGAGGTTTGGATAACATTTCAAAAGCTCGTCCTGATACAGCCGCGGATATGCCGTGTGCCGCGTTTAATTTATGCCCAATGGTAAGTTCACAGTAAATGAAGGAAAATTCATCAGAGAGGCTTGGGTAAGGCTTCATGTAGTCACTACTTACAAGTGTGGAAATGGGTGACAAGTATTTCCAGCAAATCCTGAACCACAGTTTAGGTCTCTGCCCAGTCATAGCCTCTATGTCATCACTGAATCGATCAACACCTAAATGAAATCAAGAAGAGGATGTTAATGGGGTTAACTGTTTAGGCAATAACGGGCGATAAAAATTTCATGGCTGACTGTCGTATAATAAAATAAAATTTCGGTTTTTAGAGTATCGGTATATAGAAGTTTTTCTAAGTACAATGCAAACAACAGCGCTAGCTGTAGTGAATTCTAGAGGAACTTTATTGCCGAATTTTTTTGGTGCTTGTTATCCACCCGCTTATGGCACAGTTGTTCAAAGGGTAGATAAAGCTGTGAAACGGATAAATCACTATTCACTGGATGGCGCAACTGGTTTCCCTAACACTAGCAATACTGATTAATCAGGTGGATAGCGCTATCCAATGTTTGAACAACTGGTGCCAGCTGTGTCTAACTGTATAAATCCACGATATTGTCATTTATCCGATGTCCACACGTATCCGATGAATCCGGCATACGAATCCGCGACTTTTTGAATCCACTCTCCGGAGTGGAAATTCATGAATGCGCTATTAATCCGGAATCGTGTGGACGCTAATCTGGATATTTTTCTATCCGACCCGACGGTAACATAGATCGAGTCCAGTTTCTTACCGTGAATCTTCAAGGTGGTTGCCGGGCGCCATGTTATCGCTTCCTTACTTGTTGTTGTTGTTGTTGTCGATGATTATACTTATTACTGGGTTAACCTCCGACCATCCATTTCAAGTTAATTACAAAGTGCGACAAGTGTTATTACAAAGTGCGACAGCTTATTTTATTACAAAGTGCGATAGCTTTTTTTATTACAAAGTGCGACAGAACATGGCACGAGAAATCGAGAAATCACTTTTAATTACAAATTTAGTGAAATTAGCTGACGAACTAAGAATGAATCCGGATACGTGTGGACTGGCAACTTGATTTGAATACGTTATGTGTGGACCAACGTGGATATTTTTGAAACCGAAAAGGAAAAGTTGCAGATTCAATAATAATCCGGATACGTGTGGACGGGGTCTCAAGTAGTTAACATCACTGGCATGATCATTTATTTGCCTTTCAAAAAGTTAAAAGTTTATTGGCCTTGGTTTTAATTCTAGCAAGGAGAGCTTAAGAAACCACCAGGCTCATGGCAGAGGCCATTATCGATTAAGACCCCTTTTTTGTCCATTGACTATAAGAGATTTTATAAAATGTCTCTTGAGTAGAGACATACCTCACTGACAGCCTCCACCGTGATTTCCGGATTCCAGGAACTGGATTCCAGCTTTATTCAGTGGAACTTAGTTTCCGGCTTTCAATCATTAGTGGGATTCCGGATTCCTTGAGTTGTATTACGGATTCCAAATCCGAGGATTTCGGATTCCACAAGCAAAAATTTCCCGCAATCCGGAATCCGGATTTCATTACATGGGGCGACTGAAAATGAACTGCGTGTTACTCATGAAAGGCACTCACTTATTTTTAGCATGCGTCACATGCACGCTGCAATAAATCCACTCTTACATATTGATGCTTGAGTTTATCTTGATTTATTTTGTAAACATTGAATTAACTCTCTTTTTAGAAGACCAAAGGAGACGAGCCTTTCGTTTAACCAATTATCTTTGAGTTTGGTGCCTGTAGGGAAATTGATCTTTGTACGATTTTAAACGTGTTCAATACATAAAGACATTCCATTGTATATTTCCACTAAACCATTAAAGTTGCCTTTAAACCCGATTCTGTGGCACAGCTGGGCCTTTAATTATAGAACTGCAGACCTATATACAGTATCAACATTGAAGAGAAAATAGGTGATGAAAGGATTTAAATCAACCGACTTCTCCTCACCCTTTAAGAACAGGTTTTTAAAATATGATCTCTAACATTTCTCTAATAATGGGAAACAAAATTTAAACAGAAAAACAATTTCAAGATATAGTAGATAAAATTAATGTAGTATTTTTTGTAACACTGCCTACGTTCAGGGCTGAACCTAAAAACTCTAGGTTCAAAATGGGTGGAATTCAGAAAACAAGAGTGGACTGTCTTGGATTCCCTTACATTGGGCGGTCATTTACAGTGGAACTTCGATTTAAAGAACCTCTCTATAATGAAGTCCTCGGTGTAACGAATGATTTTCTCTACCCCAGTAGTAGTAGAATATATGAGAAAGAACCTCGATAAAAACGAAACCTCGTTATATCGAACAATTATTGCCAGTCCCTTGGCCCTTCGTTATATCGAGGTTCCACTGTAGTGATGTTTATCTCTTTACCATAATGATAAACATCTCACTTCCACGCCGCCCTGAAGCGCCAAGAATCGCCAAGATCTATAGCTAGCTTTTTAAGGAGTACGTTCCTAGTTTTTAAATATAATTCTGAATAGCTTAATCCCCGAGGTTGATTAACGGGATAAAGAAAAAACACACAATCAAAGCAAAAATATAAGCGTGCAAAACAAAATGGACAAGTCACACCTAACAAACGTACCTATACACGGACACGTTGTGTGGGATATATGTAATTGTCGCATAATCACCAAGAACTGGTCGTGAATTTGTCAACCTGAATAAATCCAAGCGGGCTCATAGGGAAGATTATGTATGTTATTCGCTGGTCGGTAGGTTCGCATCGTGAAATATATTGATAGAGTTCAGCATTTTCAATGCCGAGGTCATGGTATTTCAGGGTTCGGACCGACCCTATATGTAACTGGTAAATAATATCTGGTATACTTATTTTTTGGACTTAACAGAAATCGAACGAAGTGAATTTTCTTCTCGTTGACCGCCAGTAAAACATCATGGAAGTTTCCATTGTCACTAGCCATGCTGTTAACTTTTACAAAATATTGTTTTTAACCGAAAAGTTTCAGATTTGTAAACAGAGAGGTGAGCTGTCAGGAATCGGAGTCCGGATCTCGGATTCTGGACTGCTCGCGAGCCAATCAGAGGGCGCCATGTTATCCGGATGGGTAAAAATGAGAAACTTGGGAGGTTAATAAAGGGTCTCTTGGGTATTAAAAATGGCAGATAAACTTGATGGTTACCTTAGAGGGTAACCCAAGTCTTTTAAGTGTTAAAGCTTTTCATATTAACCTACCATAAATCCAACCAACTGCAACAATTTCCATCAAAGTTACAAACAGCAACGACAGCCCGGCAGTCTGGTAATCCATCAAGTTAAATATGTACATTCCACCCTTGAATATACGAAGCGAAATATTACGTCAATTCTACGCTCCAGTGAAAAAACGCTCTATTCGCAGTCCACATTCAAATGGGAGCTTAATTAAAATTTCAAACTTTTGACAGAATATTAGCGGAGCTCTCGAAGCTCCGCTTGTATATCTATAAATTTTGGTTCTGATAATATCGTCCGTCCGTCCGTACGTACGTCTTCCCTTCACGTAAGCGCATGTGACATGTCTTACTTACTATAGCTTAAAAGTCCAAGGCATATCAGAAAGAGTGTTGGACATCCAAGTTATGATCAATTGATAGATGTCAAAATAGGGTATCCGCTAACCAGTGTCATATAACTGTATCGCAGGCTCAAGTTTACAACTCAACGGGGTGACTTTTTTAAGTCCTCCGCTGACCACTAAAGGCTAAATCTATATATTATACCTGTGTAACACACGGAAGTCCAAGAAGAAACATGCTGATGCACAAAATCATCACAAATATCTGCTTCCGATAACCCTTCTTCAGCCACGGATATTCATCCACAAGTGCTGTAATAACTGCTTCAATAGTAGCAAACTACAATTGAAGGGGAAACAAAATCATCAACGCAACTCGCGACTATATCCCATCATACAAGATAAACTAGAGTTATAGAGTTATGATATTCGCGAGACCATCATCTAGAATCAATAGACCTTTTTACCGATACGGCGGCGATATTGAATTTATTAGATTCAAGGAGTATTATGAGATGCCTAGGGGCCATGAGCACGATCCTATATACTCGCTCAGTAGTATTTACGCGCGCTTTTTGGGCCAATTTTTCTTTCAGTTTTCCTAGAAATGGATTGCAGTGGGAAAAAAGATCGTTGTGTCGTGTTTGGATGTAATAATGATCACCTTTTTCTTGAGAACTGTACAGTGAATTTCTCTTTTTTCCCGAAAAGTGCGAGTAAATACTGAGCGAGTGCCCTCTGGGCATCCCACAATACGTACTCCCTAAATCTAATAAATTCAATACGGCCTCCGAATCGGTAAAAAGCTGTATTACCTGACTGTCCAGTCCGAGGGTGACTAACATAAAGAAAAACAATATCGCCCACAGAACTGATAACGGCATCTGGGATATTGCTTCAGGGTAAACAACAAAAGCCAGTCCAGGACCTGTGACAACCATAGGATCAATAGTAAAGATCGTTGGAAGATTTCGGCTTGATTGACTATAGTGGTTTGTATGGAATAGACCTTTTTAAAGACCCTACTTTGGAAAATCAAGACAATGATAAGCAAGGAAAAAAAGAAAACTGATTACTACAGATTGGAAATAAGCCAACTGCCTTAATGTGACGTCTCTATTCACTGTATCTCTGTTTTCTCAAGCCATATTCACTCGAGACACGCTTTTCAATCAACTGGAAAGGATCGGCGCTCTTGAGCTGTGGATAGATTCCCCCTCTGTTGAAAAACACTCTCGTAATGCTGTACTAAAATTTTGGTACTTCAAAGGTTGCATAAGGATTTTCTGCATAACTATTGACTACCAAATGGTTTTTCCTCTTTTCCAGAGACAAGAGAGCTAGGTAAACAAATTTAGCGCGTGGATTAGCTAGAATCTCGCATCTCATAAGCAAACAATTTTTTTTTTATCCTGCATTGTTACCTTTTTTTATCAGTTCATTCTTGAGTCATCGTGACGACAAAACTAGCAAAATATTATGTTGTTAAATGTTTGTCAAAGATCTTTTCAACAGTTTAATATTAAGGGTTGTTGTTATTTTCATTAGGTCTCACCCACCTGATGTAGCAACGTTAGACACCGTGGTTTCCAAGACGTAAGCCATGAAGCCAAGAACACTAAAAATGACAAACCCAGCGAAAAAGCTGGTTCCACAGTTGGCAAATGATATGATCATAGCATCCCTGTGGTAAACAGTAAACTCATTAGTTTTTGCTTTCGCTTTCAATTATTTTTTTAAATAATTACATTATAATGTCATCGTTTATTATCAGTTAAACGTCACCAAGACAACGCAGAAAAATAGCTGTCAGGTCCCAGTTATCCACCCTATCCAGTAAATAAGCATTAGGGAAACCAATTGCACATCTATTCAGTGGATAGCGATTTATCCAGTGGAGAGCAATATCCACCTTTTGAACTATTGAAGCCTGATGGCCAATAAGTAAACGTGTGGTTAGTGAAACCGGTGACGTTCACTGCGTGATTTTCGGGTGAAATTCTCTTTCGGTTGAGGCAGGCGGCAGAACAGCACTTGCTCTAGTTTCAATTTGGTGAAGCAGATTTAAATCTCCGGTCCAGTGACTGGGATAATCTCCGACCAGTTGGGTTAATTACTAATTTAATGAAATGTTCGGTTTGCAAAATTTGTCTTTTGTCATTTGTCTTTGTGTTCTAGTTTGTAGACTACAATGAAAATGCAATAATCGCCTAACCTAGCTGAAGCTGTTTAAAAATAGATCTGTATTCAGCAAAAATGAAGGCCGAAAAAAAACGTCTTCAGATCAGTCTTATCTACCCAATCCTAGCAGCTAGAATTTCGTTACCTTTCACAGTTGTTCTCGAACTTGTTATAGCTTCCAAATGTGATGAGGGTTCCAAAGCCGACCCCGAGTGACCAGTAGATTTGAGTGGAAGCATAAATCCAGACCTATTGTTGAGCCATGCTAAAGTCACAAATTTGTGCATATATACATATGTACATAATCATCACATTTTACTGAAAGGCCTTTTAGGTTAAGAAAGAATTCAGTGCCGATGTAAAACCCCCTCTTAAGAGACGCTTAAACATCTTTAGGGACTACTTTCGTGGATCCTATCGTTAAAGGGGGGGGGGGGGGGTTGTAGTGGCGGATAGAACCCCCCCTGATAGAGGGTGTGAAACATGGTGTGGTTAGTTTGTTTTGGGCTCCTGTGGTAGGGGGGGGGGGGGGGGGTTATGATTTTATGACTCAATCACAATTATCCTTCCCCCTCTTTGACCGCCCGCCTCCTTCTAACCGAGGTTCTTGTGAGACCTTGCCTTAAAGTGAAATAATCAAAGCGAACTTGAGGCAAAAATGTTCTAACGTCCGCTTCACTGGACGTAAAAATTTGCTGACTCAGGTTCGTTTTAGTTCTAGGAAGCCCCTTATCAACACGCCAAATCCTCCACAATACAAAGTACAACAAAAATTATTGGGAAGCCACCGAACCAATAACTTAGTTTTCTTTTCTTTTTCAGCAAAATGCCTCTAGCTAGTGACTCTGACGGCGAGGAGATTAGGTGGGGATAGAATAGCGTGAAAGGCAAGCAAACAAATGGCCTTCAAGAGGAACCTCATGCTAGTTGTTATCAAGTTATCAAGATGATGATGATGATGGCAAGGTGTAAGGCATTATCCAGATGGATGATGATAACGGTGATGGTGATGACGATGAAGATTGTGATGATGATGCTGATGATAATGATAATGTTCTCGTGATTCTGATGATGATGATGATGAATGATGATATCAAAAACGGAAGGAAGGAGTTTTTACCTAGTTTTTACCTGAGGATCGGCAAGGCGTGAGAAATCTGGCTTAAGGTAGAACAGAACCCCTTCTCCAGCACCATCCAAAGTAACACCGCGGATGAAGAGAATAAAAAGAACGATAAACGGAAATGTGGCTGTGAAATACACGACCTGAAATGTTACACAGATGTTCATGGAATTAAGACCTTGATAAAAACCAAGGGCAGGTAACAACCTCGTTCCCAGGTTCTCTCTCCTACCCTCTCTCTCTCTCTCGCTCCGTAGCGACGGGTAGGAGAGAACATTAGGAACAAGGTTAGGACAGGTAATTGTCTCCTGCCAACGGATGAGACGTTTACAAAGAATGTTCGTTTCTTTAATAAAAACCTCAGGGAAGTGGAGAGAAGGCCAACACGCGTCCTAAGGCGAGATTGCAGTGTTATGGACTGTTACAGTTCCCTGTTTCCACGCAAGATTATCGAAACCGAGTGCTTTCTTAAACTAGCGGGGATCTTGGTTTTATTAAATGTACCGACATTGCCTTCTTTAGTAAATCTACCAATTAGTTACTGCATCGAGGAAATAATCAAAGTATAGATGAATGGTCTTCGTTGATTTATTTTCATTATAAGACACGAAAAGACTGTTCCCTAATTTCGTCAAAAGGAAGTCTTTCTTTCCGATTAATTAGCAATTTTTGAGTGCCCAAGGATTGGGAATCTTTTTTTTCTTTCCTATTATATTTTGAGTTTCAATCGCTCCCGATTAACTTAAAATGCATTCTTTACCTTTCCAGATGACTTAATTCCCTTGAAGAGGCACAAATAGACAACAACCCATGATAACAATGTTGTTCCAACCAGCTCCCACCGCATATCTCCAAAGTCTCCGATCTCTCCGGTTATCTGCAGTAAGTTGTTTCTATTAAATGAAAATGACTGGATTTTAACCTGTTTTCAAGCTCGCCAAGTGGTTTGTTTAAATTTAACACCAAATGCGAGGCTAATTTGAAATTTAAAAAGTATCATTTTTATCGCCCAATATTTCTTTTCAGCCAAACAATATTTCATACCTCGCCCCTGGTAATCCAGTCTTGGATTCTGGATTCTACGCTTTGGATTCCGGACTCCATGCTTACTGGATTCCCGATTCTTTGGTCAGTGGAACTAGAATGGATTCTATAGCTTGTGCCGTGGCAGGCACCAATTAAGGTGGCTGAACACAGATCTGGCAGTTTGTGAGTATATGTAATTTGCCAAATCATGGCAAGACAAAGGTTGCAGCTCACAAGCTGAAACTAATTGGCAAATAAACAAAATATAGATGAAATATTTTGATTGCCAGGTAAAATGTGACGTTTTCGTAGACTCCATGGCAACATGAACAATTGAATACAACCTTAACATTTCACTTTTGCTCAGTTTACATAAAATTCGCTCTTCAGATTTTCCTATAAACTTTCACACAGCTTACTATAATTATCCATTAACAGTTGAAACTTATTTGACCAAATTTTAACAGACGGATTTTTATATAATCAATAATATCATGATCTCTATCAAAACACACGATCACAGAAACTGAAAGTGTCTGAGAGTGAGAATGAGCAATTTCCATCATATTACGACTCAGGTCAATTTCTTGTCTAACTACATTTGACAGACAATTTTTGTCCTATATTTGTATCAGTAGCAGTTGTAATGGAGTTTGGAGAGTTTGGCTCCCTCCATATAAGTCACTCGCAAGCAGAAAGATCTTAGAACTCTATAGGACAATGATGTTCAAACCCCTTATTATTGCTATAAAGACCGATAAAAATTGAATTTACGTACGTCCAGAATTCGGCGCTCGGGGAGGTGTACTTCGCTGTACAATTCACGGGCAAATCAAAGACAGTGCAGTTAAAACTGTCACCCTTTCTTTCTTCCCTACAAAGAAATAGAAAAACAAACATACCAACAAATACACTTTATAATACTTCTCTGTCTTCGGCCCTCTCGTGCAACGACAAAAAAAAAAATAGAGTTCCACGTTTGCAAAAAAAAAAATGAAAATTTTGTAATCACCAATTTTTCGTTTTTGTAGCTTTGTTCGCACCCGAGACACGCAAAATTTTTCGTATAACCAGAAACGTCAATTGGAACTTTAATTGGTCATGTTTGCGCAATAAGATGACCCGACGAAAGATAGCTGTCAAGTTACAAAGTTAGGTTTTTGTCGCTTAACAAAAAATTGTAGGCCTCCAAAATCTTCTCGACAGCATCTTTGGAGTTGGTGACACTTGAGAAAATTTTGGTATAGGTTAAAAAACTCGTTTGCACTAAACTGGAGAGACAGCCTGTTGACAGATTTTTTGCAAAACAAACAAAACTTTGCGTAGTATGTGTGAACAGGGCCTTCGTAACATCGCACAACAAATGACTAAACACATACAGCCAAGATAATGCTTGAGTCCCAGAAGTGAAACATTTTGCCATTCAGGGACACCCAAGGACGGTTTCCTCCTTGATAAATTAAAAGCACACTTTTTGGGCTATCCATACTTCTTCTAGATTTCCAGAAATGCATTCTAAGAGGCGCTATAAAATTTGTACCCGTACGTGTTCGGTCATCCTAGGGGAATCTAAGTCTTTTCGAAATTACAAGGGCTCAGTATATTATTATATATTTTCACGAAAATTTTAGATGTACTTTAAGTTATTACGAAAGTGAGAATTTTTTCTGATTCCTCTTTCCATCACATTTGTGAATCCGAAAATTGTAGGTTTCCTTTTTTGTACGAAAAATAGCCTAACCTGGGCGGTGAAATTTCAGAAAATTGTATTGAATTTATTAGTCAGATAAGCTTCGAAAATCGTTCATGAATGGAACGGTCATCTAGAATTTTTTAGCCGTCCTCAAGTGATAGAAAATTAATTCTAGCCATGTGCTTCTCCGAACAGTTATTTTACAGAAAACAGTCGTTGGGTACCCGAGGTCATTACCTGCAAAACATTGTATTCCATGAGTTATCGCAAGTTTTCCAAGGCACTTCGGAACGAAATGATTGGAACAAGAGGAAGAATGTCCAGGACAAAATGATAATGTAGTAGATACCAACCAAATAACCCATAACACATATAGCATATCCAATACCTAGAGTTCAATGAGAAAATAAATCATAAATAGTCCAGTTTCGAATTCGTCGCGGCCGCTGAATAGAAGCACTGAAGACTCATTTATACAGGGTTAGCCTCGATCTAACGTAAAATATTCACAAATACCGGTGAGAGGGCGGCTGAATTTGACTTTAAAGCAATAGACACAGTTGTACACAGATCTTCGTCTGAATGAAATTTATGAATATATATACCTTAGGTCGAGGCTAACCCTGTATAAATGAGTCTTCAGTGCTTCTATTCAGCGGCCAGCCGGCCACGACGCATTCGAAACTGGATTATTGACGGTTCTCTGTAGCTTGCGAACAAGCTCTCCACCGCTAGACCTCCCCGGAGAGCTTTTGCTCTGCAGATTTTGAAAACCGTGAACTCCCATATCTCCGATCCGGTGCATATAACACCGATAGCTAAGGTGCAGAAACTCAAGAATATTATAGATACTTAGCCTGTTCCAGGCGTTCAGACAGTAGAGCGCGGGAGAAAAATTCAAGAAGAAAAAAAAACGAGGGGAGACTCGCTCCCCATCGACCGCCGCACTCTACTATCTGAACGCCTGGAACAAGCAAATAGTTACTGTGAATTTAATGTTACTGAGTAAATGACTCTATATAGAACATTAGATGCTGTGTATTAAATGTTACTACAGTACATTTCTCTATATTTTTCGCACAATCAACTCTGTTTCAACGAACGCCTCTTTAAGACGGATTCACACCTTGAATTGTTCCCAGCCGCGCCACGAACACCTGGTCCGCGGTCCGGTTGTTCAAACGTTGAATGTGGACCCCAAACTAAAACAAAACTGTCGCAGAAGGAAAAAAATATAGACAGCATTACCTTTCATTAGTGGGCACACAGATTTCCAGACACCGATCACTCCAGAGCTGTACCACTGACCAATGGCAAGTTCCATAAAGAAAAGAGGAACTCCGTTGATGATCAACATCAGAAAGTAGGGGATAAGAAAAGATGCTGTAAAATAAAAATAAAAAAACGCTTCTGCCTGTATTCAACTGCACACACTGCCGCATTTTGCAAGGGTGAACCTTACTACTATATACACTTTCTTTCCTTTTTTTATTTCATACAGTAGCAGTTGCAGCATAAAGTTTGCAGTATCCTGCAATACCAATGAAAACTAAAGTTTTCTCTGATTGGGTGAATAAGTCCCATTGAAATTACAGTTCATTATTGTTCGTTTTTCGCACTAATACAGGATAAAGCCATTAGTGACTAACAATTACAAAAACACTTGTAAATACTGATTTTATTTCTCTTTTCGATACTCAAACTTCTGCAGTACTTAAGTTAGAGGGCATATTTATTCGTCGTGTTTGGGATATATACATCAGTACTGGCTTAGTTATCGGCTGAACAAGAAGAAGTATTAATCTTACTCCCGTCAAAGCATTAAAGGGATCTTGTACAAGGGCGGGTGGTGTGCCTTTTAAGTCTGCGCTGGAATAGCGGCTACCATTTTTTCGAGTACAGAAAGCTTATAATAAAGAGCGCTCGCCAAATGATTGTGTGCTATACGCTGGACTTCCGCCCATTTGCCCACAATCATATACAGCTATACAATTGGCGACAAAATTGTTCAGGCATAGGGTAACTTCAGAGAACAAAATAATCCACACTCCTCCCCTGTCCCCTCCATTCAAAGTTGGGGGTGTTTGTTGTTTTCTATGGGTAGCTCGAACATCGGCACAACATTTCATGAAGCGAATGGGGGAGGAAAGCTAGATTTCCTCCTTTTGAAGTTAGTAAAACGTAAAAAAGCCCAGTTTTGAGCGAAGTATCTCAACTCATTTTGTGGCCGATTGTAGATTAACCTGCAAAAACATCCGTTTCTCCTCGCTCTTCGCCGCTGGGGACGTTTCGCGCGAAACGTCTTCAGCGGCGAAGAGCGAGGAGAAACGGATGTTTTCGCAGGCTAATCGTGGATACATATACAGCTTGATCAAAAAATTTTGCTTTGGTAATTGGTCATGGGACATTTGAGCAAATGAAACAATGAAATTATTTACTTGAGTGACCACCAAACAATAGCTTCCCAATGCCCAACTCCCAACGCCCAAAGCAACCTTTATTGATTAGAATCAGCTATATGTCAGCGACTGCTTTTTGCCGCTAAAAGGGGCGCAAGGAAACCACAGTGTTTCCTTAAAGAGACCATGCATCTGACACAATCCAACTTAAGCGGGGCTTGAGCAAGGATCTAAGATAACTTAATGGTTTCGAGCGAAACTTTGACTCGAGCGAAGCTACAAATCGGGAACAAACATGAGGAGATTCTAGACATTACCTCACACCCTGACCTCAGTGCGCCACGCAAACTAAACGGCAGGGAGGGCATTACAGTATAATATCGATCCCTCAATCAACCTTTTCTGAAAAGTAGAAAACTAGCGCGGCAAAATTCAATGCATGATAAACGGCAGAATCTAGATTCAGACAGCAAAAATGGAAAACAAACCTACAAACTGAAACAGAGGAAAAATGTCGAATAAACGGTGCAGAAGAGCAAGATTGCAGTACTTACAGCGTAGGTTATAAAGCCTGAAGCGACGTCACGAGCCGCCTGTTTTGCTTTACTTTAGCGGTTTTCCTGGCTGCCTTGCCCACAGATGTTTTGTCGGAATAACAAAATTTACTCTTCCCTAGCTAACGCTAATAATAGCGCAAGTTTTAAAAGAAAAATGGTTAAAAATCACCGGTTTTGCTCATTCACAAACAACAAACAAACCTGTGAATAAAGCTGCCAACGATTCCGCCCGGGTTAGCGGGCAAGATCGTAAAAAACTGCCCGCTCTCGGAAGCTCCATTAAGAAGAGCAGAATAAAATACACTGTATTACCGTATTTATTCGATTAACCGCCCTGGGCGCTTATTAAATTTTTGGACCTTGAGAGTGGGCGCTTATTCGAGGCCGGGCGCTTATTACATTTTCAACATTTTCAGCATAGTTAATGCAGGTGACTGGTTATGAAGCCCGGCAAACATCAAAGGAGCAAACAAAGATGCCAAGATTTATGTTAGAAGGTCCACGACCCTGCACAATCTTTTGTTTTGCGTTCATACGTTATGCATGAATTACGTAACCATGGTTAGTTCCTCAGTACGGAGTAAACAACTATTGTGTTTTGTGCAGGGTCAAGGCCAAAAAAGAGAACAAAAACATACAACAAAGAACTTTGTCGGGTTTCATAACCATTCCCTCTATTAACTATGTTTTCAGCAAGTGAAGTATGTTTATTTTGCAACAAAACAATAAATGCTAATAACAGAACGCGAAGAAGTAACAAAGCAAGGCCGGTTTCTGTAAAATACTCTGAAGAAAACTCCGTCCTCGGGGAAGTCTCTTATTAGAATTTATTCACTCAAGTGGGTGGGGTGGGGGTGAGCGCTCATTTGAGTTTGATTGGGAGGAGGAGAGGGTGGGCGCCTATTAACTTTTTCGGCCTTCAGGATGGGCGCTTATTCGAATAAATACGGTAATTGTACAATGTAAATGAATTGTAAATGAATTAATAAATATGAATATAATTACTAGACATAATTTAACCTCCACCATTCTTGTATGCCAAGTAAGGAAATCTCCACAAGTTACCGAATCCGACGCAATACCCCAGGGATGAGAGAAAGAAATCCGCTTTGCGAGCCCATTTGTCTCGTTCAATTTCCCAAACAACCTTTGCCCCGTCGTTTGTAGATTCATTCGAGTCACGACTCTGATTTGAATCTTGTGGAACAGTATTCTCGGTTTTTGACATGTCAATGTCTCGCACATGTGCTTAGTAATATAAAGTTATCTACCGACAATGGACTCTGTACTAAAAAGTGTGTACAGAACAACCCTCAAAGCTGGACTGAGTTGTCGCTCGTACAGGCGAGGCAGCTCTGCTTAATTACATATTTTCTGACTTTCACGTGCAGATAATCACGATGATGAAAACGGAAAAGCAATAAATATATAAACAATATAAAAGCGGCAAAAAGCCAGATTAGTGGTCCAGAATCGTTTAACACGTGTTGTTCCCGGCAACAAAGCAGCTCACTTCCTAAGAGTATAATTCCCAGTCCCACCTAAGAATGTCTGGGGGGGAGGCTAAGTCCAGCGTGGTCAACAAAAATCTTCTTGTCAGGGTAGGGGTTAGTCTGCTACACAGCCGTTTTTAGTTCGTCACGCAACGCTCCTCCCCACTTAGTGGGGAGGAGCGTTGCGTGACGACACTAAAAACGGCTGTGTAGCAGACTAGGTAGGGGTTCATACTCTGTTATTTCTCTCTATGGTGGAGGCCCGCAAGGGAGCATTGCCTGACTCAGGCCCAAGCTACTGCGAAGTGGATTCGATGGCGGCCGAATCGCTGAAAAATGTTCTCAACTTTCCAAGAGGTTTTCTATGTGTGTCTCAACAACTTGTTCCAGTGCGGGCTAGCGCTGTGACTTCGCTGGTCATACAATACATGCACTTTGATTTTCTTGTTGGCACGTAACGTCCTGCGTAACGTTGCATTGTCCGGTATCAGTTGTGAACATAGCTTTGCATTTTAAATAAGCCACGGAGAAAAAACAAATAAAGACTAAATTGAAACTGTCGCGTTCTCAGCCGAAACCACTTATTAACAACAAAACCTTCAGTCATTGACAATTTAGTGCAGCTGTATTTCATTAATATTTATCTACCTTTAGGCCTCCGTTTGGAAACTTCCCAGACTTTTAGGCGGGAAACCTCACGAAAGTCTTAATAATTATTGCTGATGAATTCTTGTTTGATAAATTCTTTGGCGCGTGACAAATCAACCAGGGCGTTGTACCATATTCGGTATCGGTACTTGAAAATTCAAATTGAAACCTCCAACGGTACCGTTACCGCTATTGGCTCTTTTAAATGGAGGGTAGCTTTATTGGCATTAATTTTGTATACTTTATATTCCGACTTCTTGACTTCCTATATATTAGGCCAACATCATCTTAAGTTTGTTTTTAGATCAAGTGTCGAAACTTGAACATGAATCAATGTTTGCCCACCAGGGAGCACAGTGATATTAGTCCTTTTATACTATCACCTCAAATCGTTTATCAGTCTTAAAAACGACAACGAAAATCCAAACAAGAAAAAATGTGTTTTGCCCCGGTCTGTGTCTTTAAGAGCGTTATAAAATATGTCCAGATACAATTATTTTTAGGTGTTTCTATTGAGCTACTTACTCGATCACGATAGCTAACTAAATTTGCATATCTTTGATCACTACAGCAGCACTTTTAATGCTATAAGCCCTATAAACATCAAGATCATACCTCCACCATTCTTGTACGCGAGATAAGGGAACCTCCACACATTGCCAAAGCCCACGCAGTATCCGAGTGATGAGAGAAGAAAATCTGCCTTGCGACCCCATTTCTCGCGCTTTTCCACTATCAAAACTTCATTTTCTTTCTCCGAGGACTGGTCGACACTATCACTTGCTGCCGGCTCAGGCTCTAGCTCGTGTAAAGGACGGTTTTCAATTGTGTCTTTATCACTGGACATGTTTAACCTGACTTTACTTGTCAAAACGGGATAATCCAGAAGAACCGACGCACAGTTCCGAACTGGTCAAGTAGGTCTCGGATATAAAGTCAAGCCTCAAAGCACATGTCGCTTTCATAGTATGTACCCGGAATAGCCATTAGCCAATAGGCGCGGTTGTAATAACAGTATATAATTGGCAGCTATAGAGTGTTTTCACTCACGTGGCCAGCATCTATGCAAATTTATAGGAACAAAAGAAAGCGTTTGCATAAGAAAAGAGTACAACTCCCAGAGGATTGGTTTGGGACACCAACATGGCCGCCGTTTCATTGTTTTGGGACACCAATATGGCCGCCGTGACGTCATGTGAAAACACTCTATTCAATTTTATCCTAAATAACACTGACTCTTTGGCAGAAGCGTACAAGAAAACTTTGTTCCCTGCAAACAGATATTTACCTAACTACAGAAACAACGTTTGGGCTTGTATGTTCCGTAACGACATCTATCATCAACGAGGCTGACTGTGGAGTTAAACGCTAATAATGTCATACAACAAAATCTATCATAAAGCATAAGATATTCACAAGGAAAATAATTTATTCAAATATCGCTGTGAATAATTCTGGCCATTAATATATAGTATTGTGGTCAAAACAAACTTCCTATTGATCATGGAATTGGCTTTTACAAGAGGGTCTTAATGGGGTTAACCGATAGGCGTAAAACGTCCAAAAATTTAGTCGATAGCCGTAAAAATTGAAAAATTTTAACGGTTAGTCGTAAATAGGGTAAAAAAATAGTTAACCGTAACTGAAATAAATTAACCGATAGCCTTAAAAGAGCCAAAATTTTAGCCGATAACCGCAAAAGCCACCACCCCGCTGTTTGAATTAAACATAACTCTTTTGCATGCAAATTGAAAGACAAAAAAAGCGTAGGAATAAAATGTATCTAAAGAATACCTGTCTATAGCCTGTTCCAGGCGTTCAGATAGTGGGGAGCGGTGCGAAGTAAAAAGGAGCGCGAAAAAAATAAAAGCTCTCCACTATCTGAACGCTTGGAACAGGCTAACCTGTCTATAACTGTGCCAAAAAGGGTACATTTAAACTCGAAGGTAATAACATAAGTTTCACAAGCTAGTGACGCTCTCACTATCAATTGCAAGGCGCACTGAAGACGTGAAATTACCTTTTATGGTAAGAATTCATATTGCCTGGTCTTTGAGGAGTACTACAGGTTATTAGGCATATTTGGAATACTAGAGTACTCGTCACTTGTTCGCGCTCGACGACACAAATCGGCGCTGTATTCTTTTGGTGCATTTGTGCACGTTCCCCATGAAGCAAATTGTCTTCCCCACATAATTTTCCATAAGTTTTGTTTTCAAATTTTCAGCGGACGGTTGGTTTTCAAGAGAAAATTGAAAACAGTATTTATACAAAATTTTGTGGGGAAAACAAATTGCATTATGGGGACTGTCAAAGTCGCAATGGGATGTTATCTGTGGGTCGGGCGCGATCCATTCAACCAAAATTTCCGGAAATTTCGGTCCAAAACTCAATGGATCGGTTCGGTCCAACCGGAAAAGTTTCGGAATAACTGGTCCACCTTTTGAGGTGGACCACTTTTCCCGGTCGGACCGGTCTGAATTTTAGATGAATGGATCGCGCCCAGTGATGTTAGCCTCCGTTACATGCGTTTTCCGATCCAGATATCGCGCGAAAGTTGGAGCGAGCAAACCGAAAAGATGGACGAAGAGGGAGGGGAGGGGGGAAAGAGGAAACTTTCCCTACCCCACCCCATCTAATATTCTCCTTTTTTCTTCCGACGGAAAAGTGTCACGTGGAGTAAAACAATACACAGCTTCTGCTGACATGAGGTGAAACAGTTGACTTCACAGCCAAGCAATTTGAAGGCCGTGAATCTGGTCTTTCCAAAACAAATCATAACGATTATCAACTGGCCGAATTTTGATTCCTGGTCTAGCAGTTCGATCCGTACAGTAAGTGTTTTTCCATTGATAAATATGCCCACGGAAAAAGATTCAATCGCTGAGAATGTTGCCCTACAAGAAGCAAGTGGTAGTGTGCGAAACATCAGTTCGCATGAACCGCCTCCCGAAAAGCTAGAGGATCAAAATGGCGAAAAGCGTGAGAAGTGGGGTCGAAAGGCGGATTTCATTCTCGCGTCCTTAGGCTACTGTGTCGGATTTGGCAACATTTGGAGGTTTCCTTACTTGGCTTACAAGAATGGAGGAGGTAAGAGATTTGGAACACTTTTAACATGGTATGTTATTTGATCACTGTATTGATATGCTAATTCCAGCACGCCTGCCACATGGTACGAAATTCTATCGGTTTCAAATAGTCCGGATAATTTAAAAGACGAAAAGGTTTCCACTTAAGGGTCGATTGAAAATCAAGACTGATTGAAAGATGACTTTAAACTGTACTCCTGCTACGCATCAGGTCGTTGTAAGTGTTGAGCTGCCCAGTCAGAGCGCCTGCTTTCTTGGTGTTCATTGCCGCTCTGCATTGTCAATAATTCAACTATGAGAGGGTTGGAAGGGGGGGTGGGGGTTGGGAGAGAGGTGTCGTGCACGGTTCACGGGGATAAAATCAGACTTTTCAAGAATCATGCGAAATTCAGCGTTTGATTTGTCGTCCATACAGTATTGCAAAACTGAGGTGTCGACTATTTTGAATTGTTTAGTTAAGGTAAAAAAAAACAGTGCAAAAACCGTGTACGATCAATCCAAAATGATCATCCAAAATGATCGTGATCAGTCATAATAGATCAAATTGAAAACGTTACAGTCAAGAAGACTTTTGCAGGGACTGATCAAACAACGTGAAATAGAGTTAAGTTGCGATATTTCGACTAACCAATACCAGTCTTCATCAGGTTTATTGAGATATCACGAATTTACAGAAATATATATGGAGTAAAATAATGACCGGAAATTACATAATATGACGTGTATGGTTGGCCACTTAAAAGACAAGAAATCATTGTTTTCACGCCCTAAAATACTAAACTTTCGTTATTAATTCACAACTGCATGCCTTACTCTCAGGGGCACCCAACGGCCGAATGTTTCCAAATACGCCAGAAGTGTCTCAAATGGTTTTCTCCTGGCTTTAGAGGCCTGTTTAGTTAATTTGGCATTGCCCTAAAAACTGATTATCTGTTCGGATGTCTTACGGGAACTTTGGTTGTCACGAAAGTCTTACGTGGCTTTTTCGTCTTATCCGAAAGTGTTAGCTACCCTTAAACCGAAATTTTTAGCCTAAGGAGACCTTTTTTGACAATAATCGCAATACCTAGTCTGCTACACAGCCGTTTTTAGTGTCGTCACGCAACGCTCCTCGGAGGAGCATTGCGTGACGACACTAAAAACGGATGTGTTGCAGACTATCGCAATACCTTGCATGGTATTAAAATGTGAATAATGCAACCTCCGAAAATGGTAGTTAAGCTACTAGAAAACCTCCCAACATTTAAGACAAATGGAACGGTTATCCAGATATTTATAGCTTTTCTCAAGCTTTAGAAATTCGGAGAAATTCATAGGCAATAGCGTAACCAGTTCTGCTTGTGTAGAGTACAGGGGTACCCAGCGACGTGTTTCTGTAAAATAACTGTTCGAAGGAGCACATATTCAATATGTGCTCCTTCGAACAGTTATTTTACAGAAACACGTCGCTGGGTGCCCCTGTACTCTACACAAGCAGAACTGGTTACGCTTCATTATTTGAAATCCTTTAATGTAGTGCGTATGTACAACGACAATATCTTTGCCAGTACTTTTATAGGTCTCATAAGGCAATGACACAGATAACACAATCACAACTGTGCCTGCATGTTCTACCACGTGCCTTACAAATGCCTGCAAGGAGCAGGGCGTTCCCGATAAAGGAATACTGACGTACACGCTCTTTGCTGCCACTCCGCAACAAACGCATTCATTGCATTTGAGGATGTTGTTGGATCCACATAATAGAAAACACCTTCCAAAACTTCCCGACCTATCCAATCGAACAGTTCGGCAATCGAACCCAATCGAACACCAATCGTTCGATTGCTGAACTCAATCGAACATAATCGAATTCACAATAAAATTTTGCCAATCGAACACAATCGAACGTTCGATTACCGATCGATTGGTAATCGAACCCAATCGAACGTTCGATTACCGAACGATTGGTATAATCGAACGTTCGATTAACGGACGCCGCATCGCATGATAGGCATGTTGTATTGGAAAATTCCGAAGGTGAAAGTGAAATCACCGCTAACTCCCTTCCCTTTTTACGCGGCTTTTGCTGAGCAGTGAAACCCAGGACTGAAATGTCTGAAATGTCAAACACGGAGGAGAGGGAGGACACTGCATGTATTGAAATTACATGCAGTGTAAAAGGTTACCAAGAATGTAATTTTACTGTTGATGTGGGAGAAGAATTCTTTATCTTTAAGAAGATTGGCTCTAAGGGAAGAGCATTCAAGGTTACCAACACTAAAGGGCAGTTAGGACATCTTGAGCGGACGTTGGTCTCACCACTTTGGCCCTTTAAGGACGGGATGAAATGGTGAGTTATGATCCCACTTACGGGCACTTATGCTAAACGGATTTTGTT